GCTGCATGTCATCCCATGGGCCAATTGGCGGAGAAGCCCACAACGCTCGCGAACGAGCTTTCTCTTCAAGGAGGGAGGAATGTTGCAGACCAGACTCTTAGGCTTAACACCAACAGGCCCATACGCATTACGAGGGAGCCCAGTTACTTACAAGATTACTTTCAATGAGTAATTAGCTACGTGATTCGTTCAGTTTGAGAGAGAAAGATATTGTTACCAGTTAGTTACTTGAAATAGGTGAATATTGTAAGGGAGGTAGTTACAAAGCTCACGAGGGGCGTGAATGAAAAACAAGAAAAGTTGGGCAATTTCTCTCTCTAGTTTCCCTTTCTCTCTCATCTTCTCTGGTTCCCTTCACTGTTACGTCTTTTTTACTTCACTGAACAAAACCCTTAGAAGTTAACAAATCATTCATCCACAAGAAAATAAAAAAATGGTGACAAGTAACAAAAAGGAGGCAGCAATTAATTACATGTAATGAAGAGTACATAACGGATTAGAAAGGACCTACCAAACTAATTGTACCCAAAAAAAAAATTAAAGCTTAATGAAACATTATATAAAGGGTTTAATAAGAGTTATGTTGTAGGAAAAGTGATTGTGTTATGTTATAGAGATTCGTTTTGCGTGCCAGAGTTTTTTTTTTTTTTTGGTTTCAAAAATTGTGGGTCCCACAAAATGTTGTGTGTGTAGGAAAATTGTTGTGGTCATGTTAAATTATAGATACAAAACCCTTATATAAATGATGAAATGGAACTGTGCCCAAGTGGACAAAGACATGTGAGATCCCAACCCTACATACTATCAGAAAAAGTGCAAGCGGACAGCTTTTTTGCTAATAAAAAACTACGCCTCCTAAACGCAATTGCTAATGACAGCATTGTTGCTTCCTCTAATTTGTTCTCATTTAGTATACCCTTCATAAACCGCAACTATGCGATGTTGACTGGACAATGTAGTGCAAAATTAGGAATAACTTTTTTTTTAAATTTTATCACTTTTCTTATGAGGTATCTCTTAATATTTTAAATGTGATACTAATTTTTGTTACGATGGATACCTAAAAGGCTTATGATTTCAAATGAGGGCGTAGTGGGTGAAATGACCAAAGATCTTGGCAATAGAACAGGAATGCGAATTGAATTGATTGTTGTGAAATGTTTCATGAGGTGGGATGAGAAATTCTGCATGTGATGAGTGCGTGTGCCAAAACCAAACTAAAAAATCGGCCAATTTTAAGTTTAATTCAGTTTTTGTTTGACTATTATTTTTCCAGATATGACAAATTGACCCCTATTTAATTTGACTCTGGTTTTAAATTTTTGTTAAAACCTTAGATAAAGTAATTGTTTAGAGAGATTTATAGCATTCGAATGATTAGTTACCTATAAAATAAGTCAGAGCTAAAATAAAACAATGCTGTATACAACATGAAGAGAAGACGTCTACAGCTTTTTACATGTAATTATTAAATTTATATAATTTTATAAATTTAGATCAACGTTAATAATATAAATACGTTATAATCTTTATACAAAATTTATTATTATTATTATTATTGATAAAATAAAGAGCTTAATATTTCTAATGTTGTAAGAGATAATTTTATCTACTATATACACATAAAAGTATGAAAGACTATGCGAAGAGAAGAGAAAGAAAAATATGAACCCCGCACACTTTTATGTGTATGTAGGATATAGTTTTATCTTTTATAACATAAGAAACATTAATCTATAAAATAAAATATAGAACTTATTGGAATGCTATACACTTTTCAAAGGTTATTGATTGTCGGTTAATAAAAAAAAAAAACCAACTCGACAATTCGACAAAATTAAAGAAAATCAATATTATCAACAACACTTTTAATCCAAGTTAATTGGTGATGAGCCGATGATGGTAGATGAACTCAATAATAAATAAGAGGAGATTAAAAAAATAAAAAAAAATTGGGAAGAGGGAAATAAGATAAAAGGCAAGAAGAGAAAAAGGAAGAGAGAGGGTTGAAGAAAAAAATGACTATTTGTATATAAGAATAACAACGAGTTTAACCTTCTATCCTGCTTATAGCTTTTCTCCATTCCGTCCTAAGACACACCGTTCGCCAATCTATATTCCGTTCCATTAAGTCTTGTTTAACTACCTTTCCCTAGGTAAGTTTTGGTCTACCTCTCTTTGTATCGAGTTTTTGGTAACAAACTTTTATTCTTACAGGAGCATCAATGAGCCATCTCATTATGTGCCCAAAACACCTCAATCTATGTTCCCTCATATTTTCAGTTACCGTTACTACTTCCACCTTTCATCAAATATCTTCATTTCTTATCTTATTCATCCTCGTATAACCACACATACACCTTAACATTCTCATTTATGCTACTCCCATTTTATACTCGTATTGCCTATGTGCTGGCCAACATTCAGCTCCATATAACATTGTCGGCCTTACTGCTGTGATTCTATGATTTACATCCTTATCACCTTTTTGCAAAATTGACTCCAAGTATCTAAAAGCATCTTTCTTGGGTACCTCTTAACCAAGTAGATGCACGAGATCTCGATCTTCATCTCTTACCAGAGAAAACTCATACTTCATATACTCAGTCTTGTTTCGGCTTAACGTCAAACCTTTAGACTCTAAAGTGCTTTTCCACAATTCAAGTTTCCTTTTAACACCGTTTTTGGTCTCGTTAATAAGCACAATATCATCTGCAAAAAGCATACACCACGACACTTCCTCTTGAATGTCTTTTGTTAATTCATCTATCACTAAGGCAAAAAAATAAAGACTCAAAGTCGAACCTTGACGTACACCTATTGTAATAGAAAAATAATAATAAAGCATATATAATAAAAAAATATGGCAAGTATCCGAGATATAATAATAAAAATTACTTGTTATAAAAAAAAGTTCTTTTGTAAAAATATATCTCAAACTTAATATAAATGTCTTTTCTTTAATTGGATTATAAACATGAGTTAGTAAAGGTGTATCGTGTATGAGATATTTAGATAGATAAAAGAATTATCACATATTAAATAACAATAGATAAAAGAATAAAGTGACTTTAGTTAGGTGTATCGTGTATGAGATATTTAGATAGATTTCATTGGATAAAGTAGAAAATATCTTGCACCAAGAAAAAAATATCTAGCAGATATGTAACTGTCGTTATATTAATAAAATAAAATAAGCGAGGAAGTGATTGCTGTGAGGATACGAAAACAAATCAATGGAACACTTCAAAGCGAAGTGTGCAAAGCAAAACGAAAAAGCGAAACCAGATTGTGAAAAAGGTCATAAAATAACATCCCAATTGTCCACCTCACCCAACACGTGATGCACTTTTTAGCAAAAAGTTCAACCTCAGTGCGACAAATAATAATGTTATTTTTATTTTTTTTATATTCTTGACCCAATAAACAATGCCGCCAACAACATTCGCACATGAAAATGAAAAAATAGTACTATGGTAGAAGAAGCAGTAACAGTGTTGTTTTTATCTCATGTCATGGGATGGACCGAGAAAAAGGAAAGGCCTAAACGCTTTTGCTTTCACTTGGGAAAAAGACATGGCCCCACTTGCATTATAAGGTTTTTTATTTTTTATTTTTATTTTTTATTTTTATTTTTTTAACACTTTTTTGTTTGCACTTTTTATCAGCTTCTCTCGTGGCACATTACCTAGATACACACATCAATCAAACCCCACTCCATTATTCTCATCTCACACCCAACACCAACCTCTTCTTCCCATATCTAATCTACAATATACCTATTCATATCTATCTATCTATCTGAACTCAGCAATACTGAGAGATAGAAACGGAACAGAAGGAAAAAAGAAAAGAAAAGGTTAGTGTTTGTTTTCTTCAAAAGTCCTGCTTCTACCTCTTAGGGTTCCTTTTTTTCCTTTTTTTTTTTTTTTTTTTTTGCATTAAAATATATTTAAATTTCTGAAAAAGCAACAAAACCCTTTTTCCTTATCGATCTTGTCTTCTCTGTCTTTCTTGCTGTATGGTAATTTTCTTTTTCTTGTGGAATCTTCCTCCTTTCTGTTCTATCTTTCATACAAATACATGTGTTTGTGTGTGTTTTTTAAATATATATTTTTCCCCCAAAGTTCATGTTTTTCTGGGCATGGAGTCTTTTCTGGGAGCTTAAGATAAGGGAAGGTTGAGAATTTTGACAAAGGGTAATTGTTCTGGTCTCTTGTGATTGGATTAGATTTGTTATTCTCGTTGTCTCTGTTTCCTTTTATGTTTTCTTTTATGGGTATTTAATGCTGCGCTAGATATTTTTCGGACTTTTTGTTTGTTGAGAATTGATCTGGTACTTGTAATTCTTCCCATGATATATGTTTGTTAAGGTTGCAATGAAATTTCAGTTAAATTTTATTTGGTGAATTTTCTACTACAATTATTTTATGATGGAAATGCATTTTTTTTTTGATAAAAAATAAAATTCTGGTTCCGTTGCCTGAAAATGATTATTCAGTCGTATAAAATTATTATTATTTTCCAAATTTAAAGTCATCTTTTCCTTCTGAAGTTATTCTCATAAATATTATTACCTAATGTTGTCTTAACTATAATTTATCATTTATCATTTTTCTTTGGAAAGAATCATTTATTGTTGTACAGTTTCTTGATGCTGTGAAGTAGTTTTTCGAGTTTGCTTGTCAAGTCAATTATTTATTAATTTTCCTTTCTTTTACTCTTAATAACTCACAAAGACATACATACATACATACATACACGCGTCTATGCTTTGAACCTTTTCTTCTATCTCTTTAGTCTTTACTGTTTGATCATGGCTGCATGTTTCCATTCTGTTTGATCCCGGTTCCATAATTTACTAGTCATAGCAATATGGCATCTATATATTGTTCTGAGTTTGGGGTAGAATTCCCATTTAATTTTTCCTTTCTCTCTATATTTCTAAGCAAGTATCTGTTCTTATCAAAATTCTTTCTTATTATATCTATGCAGCAGCTGAATTTGCAGAACTTAATTATCCCTTCCTTCATCAAATTGTCTAACAACTTGTAAGTTCCTTCAATATCTTACGATAAGAAGGGACTTTTATTGTAGTTTGGGTAGAATGATTACTAATTGGAGAATTCTTTGTTTAGATTAAGGAGCAAAGCAAGATTCAGTTTAAAGATGGGTTATTCATGTGATTTTTGTGGAGAGCAGAGGTCCTTGGTGTACTGCCGCTCTGATGCTGCCTGCTTATGTCTGTCATGCGATCGAAATGTTCATTCTGCGAATGCACTTTCTAGGCGTCATTCAAGAACCCTTGTATGTGAGAGATGTAATTCACAACCTGCATTTGTGAGGTGTACTGAAGAGAAAATTTCACTTTGTCAGAACTGTGATTGGTTGGGTCATGGTACCTCTCCATCTTCTTCAATGCATAAAAGGCAAACAATCAATTGCTACTCTGGCTGCCCTTCAGCTGCAGAATTTTCTTCAATATGGTCCTTTTTCTCAGATATCCCCGCTGTGGGTGAAACATGTGAGCAGGAACTAGGTTTAATGAGCATTAATGAGAACAGCAACAAGAGCGGTTGGGTTCCTTCAGAAAACCAGAATGCCTCTGGTTCAGCTGAAGTGACTGATCTAAGCATCAAGGATAAATCTTGGGTTGGTGCATCTTCAATACCTGAGTCAAGCTCAGAACCTCATATTCTGGACCAGCTCAATGAATGTATGCCCAAGGTATAGCCTCATATTTTCATTTTATCCCAAGTCTTATAACTGCATTAGGTTTTGTGGACATTCTAACAACTGACAATGAAAAACATTGCAAGGTTTCAAGGAAGGAATTCTTTGTGTAAATCTGTTTGATGGTTTTTTCCTTCTTTTTTCCCCTTTATAGAAACCAGAGGGTAATAACAAGTTAACAACAGAACAGTGAATTAAATTGCAAGCTTGCAAGGAATGAGTTTTTTCTTCCTTGTTTCAATTATTTTGTGGTGTCGATATTTTATTGTTTTAAAGAAAAAAGCCTTAAGAGTAATAGCAAAACTATCGGGTAGCTAATTTTGTAAGTTGTTTCTTGTCAAATGCTTCTTTTGGCCAAATCATAATTTCTTCTATCTGTCTAATTCTTATGTTATGTGGCATTTTCTAAATGACTAATGCAACATTAAAAACTGATTGGCTTTGGTTCTATCCATGTATTGTTTCGAGGTAAAAAGTAAATTTTAGTTTTACAGAATTTGCAGCATTCGTGATTTATTGTTAGCTTGAACTCAAAGCAGGAGCAGCTGATCCTGCATGAATTCAAAGCGAGAGGGGCCATTTTATTTATTTATTTATTTTTGGTATACGGAGTGGCCATTTTAATTTGCAAAGTGTTTTTTTTTTTTTTTTGTGGGGCTGGGGTTCAAGTTTAGTGCTGATGGTGAATGAAAATAAATTTTGATTTCCCAATCTGTATTGTAAATGAATTCAGTAAGGCTACTGTAGTAATTGTAACTACAATCTTTCTAGATTTGAAGGTATCAAGATGTTCTCTCTTTCGTTTGTATTGACTGTTATCTTAAATTTTGGTCCATGGATTTTGATGATAGGTAAAATGAAATGATGAGTGGTTTGCAAAAGATATGAATATTGTCCTTGTAGCTTATTCACATAGATAATTGCAACTTAACTACAAGGGCATTGGCCCATTGGGTATCTAGATATTTTTTCTCTTCCCTAGTCATAATCAGTTTAAAATTTTTACATACCCAACTTGATAACAGTAGATGGCATAATGATATGCTTGGAAAGATACAATAGGCTTGTAGCTTACATGCATCCATGGTTACACCTTAACTCCAATGCCATTATATGTGATTCTGCTAACTGTTATCTTGTTTACTGAAATGAGTTACACAATTTTTAGCTTTCTATATTATAGTCTCATACTTACTTAGTTAATCACTCATGGTGAATGTGCAGTTATACTGTCCCGGTAAAAAAGCTCCTAGGCTATGTGAAGATGATAATCTGTATGATGATTTCAACATGGATGAAGTGGATCTAGATGTTGAGAACTATGAGGAACTTTTTGGTATGACTCTCACTCATTCTGAAGACCTGTTTGAACATGGTGGAATTGATAGCTTATTTGGGACAAAGGACATGTCTGCTAGTGCTGGTGATTCCAATTGTCAGGGTGGTGTTGCTGCTGAGGTAATCAAATCTCATCATCCTTTGTCTGTGATAAGCTTGGTTTTTCTATTATAGGAGCATCATCTGTTATATTCCACATAACTGCGCCATGTATCTTGTTGTCAATAGTTTCTCTATGCAGTTTAAAGTTGCACATTGGCAATTTTAGGACTGTTAAGTTCTGCACTATACAATGAATGATCTTCTTGTCTGTGCACTTGTGTACATTATTTCTTGTTATCTTGCTGATCATCCGGTGGTAATGAATATCTTAACTCCTATGATACAATTTTTCAGATATAGAGCTTATACTATATCCCAAAGGGTTTTTACAGCACCCAAGTTCGTTTTAAATGTTGTATCAAATACCTTCCTAACCAAGTAAGAACTAGATTTGTCTCATTTAATTAAGCAGTGTAATATCTTAATGGTGTCAAGTGGAAGGAAGATGATTGGAAGGTGGGGTCAGCTTGGTGGCTTCATTATCAGCAAAAATTATTATCACCATATTGTAAAAAATATAATTCTTTTGGAGTATGGCAAAACTGATAATGCAAACAACTAAAGTGCTGATGTTTAGTCCTGATTGTCTAGACTCTGGAATTTCCAAAATGTTGCAGCAGAAATAACTAAAAAATTTCTGTCCAGTATTTGCATGCTGGTAATGTTGGAAGTCATATTGGACAATAGGAAGAACAATTAGTTTCTTTTGTGGGGTCTGAATTAAATTGTTTTGCATTTCTTGCGTTAAATACTTACTACTAGATCTAAACTTTGGTTTCCAGGTCAATGCTATGCAACCAGCATGCAGCGCAGCATCTGTAGATTCAATTTTGAGTTCCAAAACTGAACCAGTTGTTTGTTTTGCGGCAAGTCAATCCCAATCAAACATCTCTTTTTCTGGAATTGCTAAAGATAGTAGTGCTGCTAACCATCAAGACTGTAGTGCTTCTTCAATGCTTCTCATGGGAGAGCCTCCGTGGTGTCCTCCTTGCACTGAGAGTTCTGTGCAATCTGCTAACCGCAGCAATGCTGTGATGCGTTATAAGGAAAAGAAAAAGACCCGGAAGTAAGTTTATTTTAATGATACTAATGATATAGCCAATGGTGTTGGTCCAGTATTACTCTTATTTTTTATTTTAATGTTTTTGCTTTCGTTTGCACTTCATGCCTAATATTCATTACCATAGAACTTCATTGATCTTATTATCTTCTTGAACACCTTATCAAGCCAAGTTATACCTTTCTCCTCTACACAGTTTTTGGTTCACTGCAATAATTATAAAGGTGGTAGTGGTGAATAAAACTGTAAAAAACCATTTCAACCCAAAATCTTTAAGGTGTTGGGTGAAGGTCTTTTTAATGGTTTATATTATTCTCTAACACACCCCTTACGTAAGAGCCCTTTGGGTTTGAAATGTGGATATTGCATAGGCCCAATTTTTTTAAATTTTTTATTTTACCTTATGCTTATTTAATTCCATAAGTAGGGGGCGGTGAGGATTGAACTGCGACTTTATGGTCTCTTTAAGCTCTGATACCATGTAAAGAACCATTTCAACCTAAAACCTTAAGGTGTTGGGTGAAGGCTTTTTTATTGGTTTATATTATTCTCTAACAAAAATAGGTATCAGAAATTTTTAAAAAAAAAAAAAAATTAAAAAAAATTCCACAAGTCATGCAAGTTATTGTTTTCATTGTCAAACTTGAGCACATTTGTGTATATTTGTGCTTAACATGCTTTGGTATTAGATCAATGAATAGGATGAATACATAATCTGTTATCATTTGCGTTGTACCTAACGTGATCAGCCAATTAGGGATATCTTGATGTACATTTCTTTAGTTTGGATTGCTTTTTTGCTGCTAAGCAATATAACTATTTGCTAGTTATTGGATTTGATTTATTTCTACATTTCAAAGCCTAGTTGCTGTATAGATGATTTAATATCAATTTCTGTCATCTTATTAGGTTTGAGAAGAGAGTAAGATATGCCTCTCGCAAGGCTAGGGCTGATGTCAGAAAGCGTGTGAAGGGCCGTTTTGTCAAAGCTGGTGAAATCTTTGATTATGACCCTTTGAGCCAAACCAGAAGCTACTGAGGGTACAATTTTTAACCATGTTCTATATAAGGAAAGAAAATTCATACAGTTGCAAAAGAAAACAGGAACTCTTACCTGAAAAATGAATGAAATTTGATGCATTCGTTCTCCATGCAATAACAAGCTGTCTGATTTTATTACAGGGGCCTAGATTTTCTTCAAGGGGAAGAAGGGGTTGTAACCAGGACATATTCCAATGAATTGACATTGTAAGCTCAGGAGCGGACTGTGTGTCCTTCACTGCAAAGGATATCCAAGTTGTGATGTCAGCTGACATGACAATATCACAAAGTGCCCCCCTTCAGGCAATGTGTCACGAATTTTGTTTGCCTTTCTGTTTAACTTGGCAAATCCTGCTTCTTAATTCTAATCTAATGCAAAATTCTTTAGTCCTTTGGCATTGATCTTGCTCCTAGTTTGTCATATTCTATGTCAACTTCCCACTGATCTTAAGTCACATGTAGAAGTGCCTGTGATGGCATGATAAGTGGCTCAATTTGATAGTACTGGATAAGGTACACTGTAGTAGTAGACTGTAATATTTTGCCTCTTTCGCTTTGCCATGTATAGTACAGAATAAACATATATGCAACAAGAGGTGTAATTGCCCAACAGTTCCTGAGGTATGAAAAATTGTAAATTCGAAGATTAATGTATAAAATAGGATGCTATTTATGCTGATGACAGGAAAAAAGTCTATGTTGGGCATGTATCAAAAGTTTTGTTTTTATTTTATTTGATTGCCATGGATATACTTCAATTACTTGGGGTATTTACTTCAATTGTAAGCCACTTCTAAAAAAGAATGTTTCAGCTGGAGAACCTTAAATGAGATTATAATATAAGAAGTCGATGTGTAAAAGATGTTGTAGTATTAATTCTTGAGTGCTTTATCTCATTTGTTTCTTAAAATTCTTTTTAATCTAAATAGTCATAGACAAAATCCTAATGTGGCTCTGTTTTTATGTTTAGTTTGTTTGAATAAAAAACAAACTAAATAAAAAATAAAAAATGATTCATTCAATATTTTTTGTAATTGTTTTGATGTTTAGTTTAGGCATAGGCAATTTTTCTTTTCAACTTAAATAACAAATAATGGGAATTACCATTAATTTCATTTAAATTGAAAAAAAATTAAAAGTTATTTTGTTTTGCAAAATAATCTTAAAAATGAAATTAATGTTTCGGGAGTCTTAATTTCACTGCATCTACATCCTAAAAATTGACCATGTAATTGTACCAAGCATTGATAATTTGAAAAATAATATATTTGCTTTATTCTTTAAAATAAAAAATTAAATAAACAGAAAATCATTGATAATTTATATATAAGAATAAATAATGAAACTTAAATTTTGATTCGACAAAAGAAATCCCCATCCGATACATCTCAATCGGAGTTCTCCTATTTTTATTTTTTTTATCACACGAGCTCTATATTTTAATTAAGGTCAGGTATCCATATATTTTCTCTTTTTATTATGCTATATTTTATTTTATTTTATTTTAAGTAAAATAAACCCAACAGGTCTAAATAGAATGTTCATGCTAAGTCAATTGAATTTGAATCATATTGTAAATAATGAATAAATTTTTAGTGCCCATTCATTTTGCGACACATAAATAAAAAAATATTAAATCATCTAAAAAAGCAAATAATATGATATTTTTTATCCATATATCACAAAATAATTGAACAAATATATTAAATCTGATTCACTAAAATTCGTAAATAAGGATAGACAGTATAAAATTAGAAACATGTCATCGAAAACTGCCAATTATTTAAGGTTTAAAAGTTGTTAAACATTTCATCAAAAAAAATAAAAAAATAAAAATGTTAAACATGCTGCTCAAAAAAAAAATAAAAAATAAAAAATTCTAACCATGGTTAACGAATACATTACCAGGAAAAGCGGTAGTGTCTAACCATGGTTAAGGGGCTGGGTGTTGTTGCCACTTGCCAATAATGAATCGGGGAGATGTTAAGGTTCCTCTCTCCACGAAGCAAAGAGTAAAGAAATTACCGAGTTTCCATCATTCCAGAACTGTAATTCTACAAACCCCTCTTCGTAAGTCTCATCAAAATGTATTCTTTTTCTTCTTGGTTTTGAGTTTTCTTCTCTGGGTCATATAGGAATTCCGTGTTTCTGTTGAAAAGTGTTAGATCGGGAATTAGAATAGTGTTCTGTGGACATGTAAAGTTTTGATTTTGATTTTTCTCTTTTATTTTGATCAAAATTCTTTTCCATGAAGTTCTGATTGTGCTGGATCTCGTTGATGATGCCACTCAAATGCTTGTGATTTAATATCGTTTACTCAATTAGCAATATGGGAATTTTGGCATTGAATTACATGCTGCATGGGATTTTACTTGCTTTTCGAAAATTGTGTTGATTTTGCTTATAATTCATGCTTATGGGGCTGTTGGATTTAACCCAATATTCCTGAGTAGCTCTTTTCCTGGAGAAAGAAAAGAGACAATTGTATATAATACTTATCCAAATTCTGGGTTTCTTGCAAATTGTTATGTCATTCTATTTCATATGGGTTTTGGTGATAACTTGTGAAACCAAATATCGTAACAGCTATATACTCAGGACTTAAGCCTACTCTGTTCTTTCAATCTATGATTGATTATTCACCATCTTATTTACTCTATTTTAATTTTGTTTGAGTATTTAGTGTTCTTATCTTTCCTTTTTAATGTGTTTACAGGTTAGATATTAAGAAGAGACCAATAGAGTTTCCATACTTTTTCTTTTCTCTCTGACTGATCAAGTTGACAGCAATCCTGCTTTTTGGTTCCCCATTTCCTTGTTTGTCGATTCTGCTTGATTCAAAGGCATCATGTTGTCCACTTAGCCAAGTTTTGAGCTTCAACAGTTGCAACACGATTTATATCTGTAATTTTGGTATCCCTAAAGGACGCTCAGCATTGATCAAAATGGGCCTCTCAAGTCTCCCAGCACCATCCGAAGGAGTATTATGTGTACTTCTGGTAAACACTGTATTGTCGATATCCATATTTAAAGGCATTGTTAGGACAATCCTACACATTGTTGGTATCCATCTTTCATCATCCACCACTTCATCCCCTTCACCAGAAGCATCCCAAAACCCATCTGAGTCATTTGAATTCCATCATAGTCCCTCAGAGAGTTACTTTGAAGAGTTTAGAAGCCGGACACCAACACTTAGGTTTGACAGTGTGTGTTGCTGTAAACAACCTGAACATGATTGCTCTGTATGTCTTACTCAGTTTGAACCAGAATCAGAGATAAACCGTTTATCTTGTGGCCATCTCTTCCATAAAGTATGCTTGGAGAAGTGGTTGAACTACTGGAACGTTACATGCCCACTTTGCAGGACTCCCTTAATGCCTGAAGATGATGATACATCTCGCTTTCAGTGAGCAATGGTTGAGCATGCTAATAAGAGAAAGTTTCATGTACAGTATAGTGGTGTACATATTCTTGAGAGTTTTGATGTTCGTGCATCTGAGTTCTTCAACCTTTTTAACCCTTTGCCTTTTATGATGTAGAGCTTGTGGAGGGTTTTGTTTTCCTTTATTTCTCTCTGTGCTCCTTAGCACAAACGAGGGATATACTTTTTGCTTGCATCTTATGTTTGTTCATAATGCCCACCTTGTTCAGAGCCTTAAATTCTATATTGGGCATTTGATCCTAATATGGAAGCATTAGTTGTACATTCCTTTTCTTTTGCCCTTTAAACACTTCCATCACCATGTATATATATAGTGTAATATGTAAAATTGCTGTGGTTGGCAATAAGTCTCAGTTATCGCAAAAATAATACAATCCTTATATCGTTTTGTTTTTGCTATATACTATGTATCTCTATCTTGCTTTTCATATATTTTTTTTAGAGAATGGGGTGCTTTTCTTGGATTTTTCTCTTTTTCATATCAAAATAGCCTTTTTAGAGAATTAATTTTTGACATAATACAACAATGATATTCGATCTATATAACTATTCCTACCTTGTAGCTTTGGTTAATGTTGATTCTATCAAAAGTTCATGCAAGTAGCGGCATGAAAATTAGCACAGTTAAGAAAACAGACTGATATAGGAGCATGTCTGATAACATCTTATTTTAGGAAAGTAATCACTTTTTAAAAAAGTTGCAAAAAAAAAAAAAAGTTTTTTTAGACAAAGAATAAGTTAATTCAATCAAGTGCGTACCAGCACTGCTTTTGTGTTGTTATCTTTCCAGCGTTGTATTAATTGACTCTATATATTTCAATCTTTAAAGTAGCATATACTAAGAGATTTGATTATTATCAAGAGAATGAACTCTAATTTTTAATGGGATGAGGTAATTTTGTTAAAGAAATGTACATAATAAATTCAAATAAAATAAAAAACAAATTTATTAAAGATTATGCATAATCAATTTTAAAAAATTTAAAGGTAAAATTAAAAATAATTAAGAATTATATATTTTATTTTGAGAAGATATATTGAAAAATTTAATCACTTTTAATATAAGAATTATAAATAAGTTAGTTAAATTTTAACGGTGTCCTGTACCGGTAAAAAATGGATGTGCGAAGGGCACTTGTCGTTCCATGAATTAAATGAGATTTGTGAAAGAGAATTGTCTAAATGCCACCGCTGAGAAATTTATACAATAATATGGAAATAGATTCTCTTATTTTTTTTAAAAAAAATGACATAGTTACATAAAAAAAATTATAATCATACAAAGATGAATCAATGGTGATAATTTTATAATTATCTATTTTAATATATATTTTTCTCTCTCTCTTGCTTTATCATTTTTTATCTACACTTCCTACAAACATACCAGATATATTCCCATTTTGGATTTTCCATATACAGGGTTTGGCTTCTTGTAATAATCATCAATGACATGAATGCAAAATTCGGTACGTGTCCGTTCTTTAACACAACAGATTGGGGCTCCTTAATTGAAAGAGAAATAAAAGTTGCATTGTGTAGGACCCTAATTCTTTGTTATTAGTGGAACGCATACAACAGCTGAGTTGAGTCGACCACTGATACTAACACTAATTAGAAATTCAAAACGGCAATAGCTCCACTTGTTAATTTGTATATTGGGCAGTGTGGCAGCAAATTCACCTACTGTCATATATTGTTATCTTAATTTTGGTACGCTATCGTATATTAGTGTTGAATATGGCAGGAAAAGTACTTGACCCTTGACTAAAGCTTTTAATTGATCATAATTTATTATAACCAAGATTGGTAGAATCTGCAGTTTTTATAAAGGAGTAATCCTTTCAAAGGCCTTATTAATATTTTAAAGTTCAGTTTGAGATAAATTCGGGTCAAAATAATATTTTACATAAAAATAAAAAACATAAAGTATACAAATCTCAAAATAAGATTTTAAGATTTCATTGACTTATCTTGGACTACTGCTTCGTGTTACGCGTTGTATTGGGCTTGCAAAGTTGCTTTGGTTGGGCCTATTTAAACTCAAGTTAGTCCCTTGTGTTGGGCCTATTTTGTATATGATTATATATTTTTTTTTGGTAGGTATATAAATATGATTTAAAATTTAAAAGAAATATTATCGTACAATAATTTGTGCTTTGCACACGCACATTCTAACGTTTGTTTGGTGTAACATCATACACTATAAGCTTACGTTATATATTATAATATTTTCAGTTTTTTGATGTGATCATTATATAGTACAAGTTTATATAACCAAATTTTTTAATATATAAAATGATGTATAACTTAATGAATTAATGTTGCCGATTAGTGCAATTCTTTAGGTTTAATATATTATCTTGATAATAATATATCAAGATACTTTTTTTTATATAATATTAATTTTTAAATATTAGAAATTTTTACACTGATCAATAAATTTTTATAAAACTTAATATTATATGATATATTTAGAAGAATTATATAAATATTTTATTAAAGGGTATTTTTGTTAAAAATATTTATTTTTATCCTATATAGTATTATGTAATGCATTACCGAACACTAAATGATATTATCTTATACAAATATTATCTTATCCAATATCATACCAAACTCTAAATAATATTAAAATTTAATCAGATCTTATACTATCAGATCTTATACTATCAGATCTTATACTATCAAACCTTATCCTATAATTTACATCATACATTCCCTTAATTTATAAATGAATTACTACACAATAAAATAAAATTTCTTAACATTATAATTTCTGTAATGTTTATCTACGCAAGGCGCCAAGGAAACCCATAATCTTGTGGCTGTGTCAATGTAAGCACCCCGTCACCAGTCACCACCACCTACGAATAGTTTATCTATCCATAGCAATATCGCCATTTTCAACACTCTATTCATTCTATTAACGTTTGCATTGACACACAGCAACCTCTTCAGCATTTCTTCGTTTCCCATCGTCTCAAGTGATGAAGTTTTACCTTCTCAGTCTCAGACACCATTTCCATTACCCTCTCTCATGCCCACTTTAGCACTTACACCCAACTGGGGTTCATGTTCATGGAGGTCATTGCTGAAGTTGGTTTTCTGCACCAAAATCCGCTTTTTCGCTGGAATAGTTCCTTCTCTTACCCTTTTATTCTGCAACCAAAGAGGTTCCTCTCACTTTAAGTTTTTCACTTTTTTTCCCTTACCCAATTTGTGTTTCTATGAGGCTGAACTACCTCTGTATTTGACAATTCTTATTGCATTATTCTTGAATTTCCCTTAAATTCTATTGGGTGATGGTACCCAGAAAGACTAATTGCATGTATACCCAAATTCTATGTTGTTCGGCAAGATGTTTAGTTTAGAAGCTTTCTTCTTGATAGGAAAAATTCTTCCTTTTCAGTGTCTGTTTATTTTAATTAGAATATGCTTGTTTGAGTATGTGGAAAACAACGTAAGGGAGGGAGTGAAAATGAAGTTTAAATTAAAAGATCTCAATTTTCACTCATTGTTGCTTGGTAGAGAGTGGGTTATTACTTTGAACTCAGTTTCGTGTTTTAGTGGTAGCCAAAACATGCAGGGTGGAGTGTAAATCACTTGCACTTCCCTTTCAGCCTTCTCATATTTTTGTATTATGAGGTAAATGTGAGGTGATTTTTTAACCCTGATTTTGGACCTCACCATTTCCCATCTACTCAAACATTCATTTTATTTATGTTATCATTTAGATATGCAAAAAATTGTAATGGATAGATTTAAGGAAGGGTTTTCTTGTATAGTTGACCGAAATTGAGTCTGATAGCCGAGTGACCAGCTTAACTAGTTCCTTCACTTTATCTACAAAAACTAGCCCGGCTGAAGCTTTTAGATTCTACACACCTTCAATTATAGTTGTTCTCTCCTTATTCGTTGAATTAGAAAGTGTTGACTCGATATATTGAAACAAAACAGTGTTCTTGCTTATTGAGAATTCATCACTTGAAATAGCCCACTCAGATTTCCCACTAAACATAGCAAATAGGGATGCCTTGTCATACCAACTGGCCGTTATTTTAACCCATTTACTATACATATGGCTTACAAGCATTGCTAAGATGATTAAGGATACCAAATGCGTAATTAATTTTGCTTTTATATTTGAAAGATAAGATTATTATGGATAGATCAAGAATGATGACCAATACGACTAGGAATTGTGATATCATCATGTTGATGGATATTCACTCTTTACAGTGTTAATTGTTTCCCCCTTTTTCTTGGGTCTTGGTTGCACTTATGTATTCTAATATTGGGACAGGCATATATGCCATCATCATGTACCTCTGTGCGGTGTATTCAGACTCACATGCTGTATGACAAACCATAAATCAGTCAGAAGATTAGCTGCATTGTCAACAGAGAAAGGTAATTCAAACACCTTTTTGGCTATGACGCATGGGTACTCTTAAATTGTTGCCATACTCATACCTGGTACGTATCTAGTGCTGGTATTTATTGGATACACATGGGTACATACCCGATACTCCCTTATTACTCTAGTACAAGTCAATTCATGCATGTAAAACACCAAGTTTTATTACTAAGTGGTTTGGTTTGCTACTAAATGAAACAAACTACAACTTCACTCCTTAAAAACCTGTGCCTTTTTTAAATATTTTTTCTTACTTGAGTTAGACCATTATGATAATTATAATCTCTTATGATTTAATTACTTTATTGTTTATGTTTTCTATATTTCTATAGAATATATGTTGCTTTATCTGTACCCTAGTTTTAGAATTTTTGCTGTACCCTGTACCCATACTGGCATAGGTACTCACATGAATATCCATGCAATTTTGCTTTTTGTAAGCTCTTGTTAATTTATTTGGTTATGAGTCATTTCCTAAGCATATGGTTGTCTACTTTCTTTAGTCTTGCTTTAATTTGTTTTGTAGCTGTTGGATCCTTATCACGACTGTATCGTTCAAGTGTTAACACATCCAAATCATATCATTTTTTCAAGTCACAATTTACAATTATATATTAGTATAATCTGATTCAGGCTTAACTTGTCACAAGATCACAGGGTCAGGATCAGGAGTTAGATCGTATGCTTCATGTTAAAATATTTTATTCTTGTAGTGATAGAATTACCTTTGTTGTATCCTTCCCTCTGCAGATAATGAAAAGTAAAGAATTAGCATGATGCATTAACAAGTAGATAGATCATATGTAATAAGTTTCTGTAAATATGTTCAGAAGCAGTGGTGCATTGTGCCACTTCAATTTTTCAATATTTGTTAAACAATTGGAATTAGCTTTATGAATAGAGAACATTTTTTTTATTTTTTTTATTTTTTTATTACATGGAGGGTAAAGTAGATTTATCTTCATAAAACTCTATTGCTGAACTGAATGCCTCAACTACAACGATAATAACTACCCTTGTTCTTGGTATTAGCTACATTAGTCCAGAGTTCTTTTTTTTCTATTTTTTTAAATACTTGGAACAGTCTTCTTGTTTCTCTTCATCATCCTATATGATCTAAGGGTACTTTCTTGTTCTACGTTTTTGCTAACTATCAAACAAGGCCTCTCTCAATAATATAAATTCTACATGGGTGCAAAATCTGCCTTCTGGCATTAATGTTCCAAATCATGCTTTCTCAGTGTATTTTCCTCCAACTTAGAATGAATGATGAATCTGGGCAGTCTGATTTCTCAGGCAAGCCAACCACTAGTGTTGATGAATTATGCAAGATCATTTGGACTGTAGAAGCTGATTTAGAAGATGGTCATCTTCTGTACATAACTGGTGATCCTGCTGTATTAGGCTGCTGGAAACCAAACATGGCTGTACCAATGTCTCCCACGGAGCACACTAACATATGGAAAGCTGAATTTATGGTAATTTTTCTGTGCTGTCTAATTTAATCTTATATATTTATTTATTTGTATAGAAAGAAAAGAAAGTTTAAATCAGAAGATGTTTCTACATTTAGATTAACTTTTGTATTCGTCTTTGCCTTGAGCTGAGGTTGGCTGAATAGGTTTCTCAAGCACAGTGAGAAATATATAGAGCAAACCAACAATACATCAGGAATAGTAGAAAGAAACCTCCCCCAATAGGGAAGAGTTATATCTCTGGAAATCAACACAAATACCCTTGAAAAGCAAATCTGTCCCTCAAAATTTCTGTGGTTCCTGTCAATACAACTACAGTCTGTGTTCTGCAATAAATGATAGGAGACCCTTTGCAAAGTTTTGCATCTTCAAGATCAAAATGTTCCTTCCATTAAAGTTTGGATTATTATATGAAGCTTCAATATTCTTGGAATACTGTATGAACATCAAAGTACAATGTACTTTTTTATGAATTAAGTGACTCAGCTTGTAATTTTATATTTGCAGATTGCTTTTGGCTTAAACTTCAAATATAATTATTTCATTAAGGGAAATTCAAGGTCCTCAAGTGACATTCTTTGGAAGCCTGGACCAGTGTTTTCTCTGTCAATACCTCTTACAGTCCTTGAAGGCAATGAAATTATGGTGAGGGATTTATGGATTAGGTCTGATTCCCAGATATCTTCAGCTCATGCTTGGAGCCCCTTCACAGAAGAAACATATCTTCTAGAGCAACCCTCTATATCTTTTCCAATCAAAGGTAATACTTCATCATTTTACTCTACGCTAGAAATATTTGTTTTTCCCAATATGTTTCTGAACACTCAAATGCTTCCAGTGGTTTGACAGATGAAGGAAGGATTGTGAGTCTCGTTGAAAATGATGTCCTAAAGTCCGAGAAACTCAGTTTGGGAGATCAATTATTTTACGACAATGAGGACATGGTGATTGCAAATGATAAGGATTCACATTCTACTAATATCCTCTCTGAGAATTACCAGCCTGTTGAGGAACCCTGGCTAGTCCATTCATCCCCTTCCATTGTCTCCAAGGATACAATGAAATCCAGTGAATCTGAAACTGATGACACTGCAGAAGAGCAGGTGAAGCTGGTAGATACAGAAAAGTTGTTACCTGAAGAAAGTAGTAATATAATTTCAAAAGACCCTGTTTCAACTACTTTACTTATTAACTCATCAATTTGTACTATGCAAAGAATTGCAGTGCTAGAGGATGAAAAGTTGGTTGAATTATTATTTGAACCAGTCAAGAGTAATGTGCAATCTGATAGTGTATATGTTGGGGTAGTCACAAAGCTTGTTCCCCATATGGGTGGGGCTTTTGTTAATATTGGAAATTCTAGACCTGCTCTTATGGATATTAAGCAAAACAAGGAGCCATTTATATTCCCTCCATTTCGTCAAAGGACAAAGAAACAAGAAATTTATCTCAAGGGAAAAAATGATCACATGTCTCATGCTACTGACATATCTGATGGTTTATCAGACATAAATTCTGAGGATGGTTGTTTAAAATCTGTACACAATGACTATGATGAGCATGAAGGAGAGGATGATTTTTATATTTCAGAAGTTCTTAAGGAAAATGTGAATGGTAGCATGGTCGATGATGAAGTAGAAGCTGACTTTGAGGATGATATAGAGGGAAGTGAAGTCCATATAGAAGGAGAAATTAATAACAGTTCTCTTCCTTTTGGCATGAATGGGTCTGTCAACTCAGATATTTTGCAAACAAAAGACACAAGGAGAGCATCCTACGTAGCTTCCGGCGAAAGCAAATGGATCCAAGTTCGCAAAGGAACCAAAATAATTGTCCAAGTTGTTAAAGAGGGCCTTGGTACTAAGGGTCCCACGCTGACTGCTTATCCCAAACTAAGAAGTAGATTCTGGGTATGTGCTCTTCCATGCTTGCACCTTGCATAAACTTTAATTGTATATCATTTTTGGTCTCTCTCATAAATTGCATATACTGTGTTTCATCTGAATTGGACTCTTTGACCTGCAGGTTTTGATTGCACGATGTGGTAAAATTGGAGTCTCCAAAAAGATTTCTGGTGTTGAGCGCACAAGGTTGAAAGTTATAGCAAAGACATTGCAGCCCGAGGGTTTTGGCCTCACTGTAAGAACTGTTGCTGCTGGTCATTCTTTTGAGGAACTGCAGAAAGACTTAGAAGGTTTGCTTTCGACTTGGAAAAATATAATGGAACATGCAAAATCTGCAGCTCTTGCTGCTGATGAAGGGGTGGAAGGAGCTATTCCTGTTATTTTGCACAGGGCAATGGGTCAAACTCTCTCAGTGGTGCAGGATTATTTCAATGAAAATGTTAGTTCTGTTACTAATTTTAAGACACTCCATTGATCTCTAGGATGTTTAACTTAACTGTGTCTATTTTTATTAAAAAGAAAATCCGGGTTACATTCTGTCCTCTCCTGATTGATTTTATCATGATATACTTCAGGTTAAGAAACTGGTGGTTGACTCCCCAAGGACATTTCATGAGGTATGATATCAGCTAATTGGAGAAGGCTAAGTTGCACTATTAGGACTGGAGTATGTCTGTTTTTGTATGTGAACAATATTGGCTTTTCTTCCCCGAGAGAGTTAATCAAGACGAGTAGGGTGATTTACTGTTAGAATTAGTTTCTGAACCCAACTGTGGGATAGGCTGTCACATGTTGGTTTACCATTTTCTGTTAACAAATGCTTCCAGTCAAAGCCTGGAAAAAATGGAAAACTGTATCTTACATCTCACATGTGTACAAGACTTAACTTCATTTTAGTTTATGGTTATACGTTAGCATGCTGATTTAGTTGTTTGTAGTCAAATAGTGCTATATGAATGGTATAATTATTTTTTGCAATTGCAAAACTTATATCATTGACTAATTTAAGATTCAATTTCAATGTTCAAATTGACTTGACACATCTGTTTTGGTGATTTTAACCTTTATATTTAATCTTCAGGTGACCAATTACCTTCAGGAAATTGCCCCTGATCTTTGTGATCGAGTTGAACTATATGATAAAAAAGTTCCCCTTTTTGATGAATTCAACATTGAAGGAGAGATTGACAACATCCTCAGCAAAAGGTGAAATTTTGTTACTTCATTTGTTATTAATCATTCATATATAGCTTTTAGCATGTATTATCTTTGTCCTTATGATCTTATTTTTCTTAAAGATATTTCATTAAATTGTGTTAGAATATCCTCAAGGGCGAGCCTTGGAGTAGCGGTAAGGTTGCTCATTGTGACCAGAAGGTTACAGGCTCGAGTCTAAGAAACAACTTCTTTGTAAAAAATACAAAGGCAAGGCACCCCTACCCTCACAAGTTGGGGAGCCTTGTGCACCGCCCCTTTGTGTTAGAATATCCTCAAAATATCTTAGAATATCTTTAGTCTATCTTCCAAAATTATTAAATATCTTAAAGATCTAAAGTATATATTGTGGAATCAATTAGTTATCTTATTGAGGAGGCAATCTTAATCATTACTTCCTAATTTTACTATTTTTCGTTACATAATTGGGGCTAGTAGTTTTCTTGTATTAGTGGGCTTGTGCTTCTAGTAGTAATGGTTGTATACTACACTAGTAACCTAATATTAGTATAAATAGGACTATTGGAACAGTATTTTGTATCAACATAGCAACACATCAAATCAATATCAATCTCAAATTATTTAACTCTTTTACTACTTCCTAACCTAAACCCTATAGTTCCAACAGATTGCATATATGAAACTAACCTAGTGAGGATCATTTGGGAACTTTTTGAGTTAATAAGAGAAAATATTAGATTTTTAAACAAGTAGTTGTTGGTGTTATTTGGGATAAACCATAATTGAGTTTTGTCAAGAGCAAAACTACTGAAAAGCTTAGGCAGTTAGGTGCAATACTGTTAGAGAAATTTAATATAAATAATATAAAACTAGTAACGTGCCTTCACCTAACAACTTAAGTTTTTGGATTGAAATGGTTCTTTACATGATATTAGAGCCTTAGCCCACATTCTATTAAAAAAAAAATGGAATTTCTTAGCATATGTAGGCGGGGCCTGATGCATTGTTCACCCTTCAAATCCAATGAGTTCTTGTGTGAGGGGGCGCATTAGAGAAATATAATATAAAAGTCATTAATATAGCTTCACGTAACAACTTAACCTTTGGGGTTGAATTGGTTCTTTACAAATACAAACCTAAGTTTGGTTTGTATCTTTAATACATCCCCTCGTGCCAAAACCCTTTATGTTTGAACTTGAAGCATGGATAAAGCAGATGTCCACTCAAATCTTGTGCTTAAATTATAATTTAATTAGTAGAATGGGGCTGACAGGATTTGATTCTTGACTGTACTGTCAAGAATTAAATCTACCCAAAAGCTTAAGTTCTACGTCTATGCCAGGAGTGCTTTACATCTGGCTGGAAAATAGGACATTCAATGTTTGCGGATGCAGTAATTTAGATTTACAGTATGTAAGATTTATTTAGTTATGTATTGTTTTAAGTGTTTTATGGAATGGAAAGAGTCCAATTCAGAGGATAAGGATTCAAAAAATCTTCTAATAGAAACTGATGGGCCTGAAAGTGAAATAATTATTTAGTTAGTTAGGGAATTATTCTAGAAGGTTCAATATAGAATAGGATAAAAGGAGAGGAGTGTGTGTAGTGAGGTAGGCATGAATTGAGCATTTGGTGAGTGGGGAATTGGGATCTCTTGAAGCCTAGGTTTGTTGGTTTCGAGGGTGAGTTGGGGTCTTTTGGTTTATTTTTCTGCCATTAGTGTCTGTAAAGAGCTTGTCTCCATTATTTTACTTAATATAATTTTCTGGTTCCATCAGAAACCATTAAAAATATGCAAGAGGTGCCTTCCAATCAAGTGAATTCCTCTCATAAGAAAATCTTCAAAAACATCAAAAGCAAAGCAGAACACTGTAACGGGGACAATAATATTCTCTTTTATTTCGAAGTAATCAGATGACCAAATTTGGTTATCAACAGTTCTAACAATTCATTTCCTTCCTTTAAAGTTCTCCTTTCTGGGATAAACTTGTCAGGTATCTTGAAACTGCATTACTTTTCCTTATAACCAATTTCAAAAACTTCAGGACAAACAAAATATCTTGCATTATAAAGGCATTCTTAAATTATAAAGCAAACAGACTCTTAATTATATCTTCCTGATATCAAATTATTGATTTTTCACAAGCTGCCTGCCTTCCAAACCATTCAGTGCGATTAAAAATCAGAATATTGTTAAAAAGGCCAAACAGTAAATAGCAGTCTCTTTGCCAATATTCTTAAACAAATGTCAATTGATCTGGCCTTCCTAGAATCCTAATGATAAGTTCTTAATTTGGAAGCTTTCTTTATGTTGATCACTTTATAGGGTTCCGCTTGCTAATGGAGGTTCTCTAATCATCGAACAAACTGAGGCATTAGTTTCTATTGATGTAAATGGAGGACATGGGATGTTTGGTCATGGAACTTCACAGCAGAAAGCTATTCTAGAGGTCAATCTTGCAGCTGCAAAACAAGTATGTTAGACGCTGCATTCTTTATGATCATTTATTTGTGCATCACATGGGCTTTAGTAAGATAAATTTTGCTTTTTTCTGACTTGGACAAGTACTGTTATTTCATTTTATTTTTTCACGCAAAACTGTTTTTTTCTTCATCACTTTCTTTTTATCTTATGATAATATATATTTAAAACATCCATTAATGTGAATTGCTTTACCTTAAATCCTGAGTTATTTCTGAAGTGTCAATGAATTCCATTTCACAAGGTTTTTAGGGATATTTGAAGAAATTTAATATTTAATTTGGAGTAATATCTGGTCTATTATCAGCATAAACTTTATACATTATCAAATGAAAAAAAAATGTCGCATCAAAATAAGTAAGATATTTTACTTTCAGCTATACTCTTAAGTAATATGTGGTGGCATACTGTTAGTCTAAGTGTTATACACTGACACTAAATATAATTTTAATACTTTGTTATTTTATTCTGCTGTTTTAGAGTGATTAATGATTTCCAGGTTAGATTTAGTTATCCATGTTACAAGTGTGAATGCGTAAATGCAGTTAGACATTTAGTCTTCTAGTAGCAGTTTATTGAAATTAAACACAAACAACTTCTATTCAAAGGTTCTTTACTATATGCTAGACTTGAGTTAATTTGTCCCATTTTGATTGTAAGGAGATAGTCTCGTGATTTTAGGAAGAAATGTGAGTTTATCATTGTGGTGATCTGTATTTGCATGTAGGATCAATGAAGCAAAAGATAATTAAATAGGGTTTGTACTAGTAAAACCTTCCAAGAGGTTAAAGACAAAGTCTATTTTAGCTGAACATACCATTCCATTGATCAAAGTTTTCTTGTTCACAACTTCCTTGCAAATCAATTAAGCACCAATATCTTTTCATTTGATGATATTCTTTAAGCTTTTGTGATAAAATGTTTAACATGTTGATGCTCTTTGCTAGATATGAATTCATTTATAAGCCTTCAACAAACAACTTAAGCTTTTATGGGAGTTAGTCATTGACATGCTATTAGGGTCTCTTTGACCACGTGGCCAAGAGTTTTATCTTGGACACCCACATTCTTCTTAAATAAAGTTGAAGTTCAACACAAGGGAGAAGTAGACCTGTGTATTATCCATGCTTCGAGCCTAGAGGGATCTTGCATTAGGGTGCATGTTTAATATAAAACTATTCATGAGCCTTTATTAAATAGCTTAAGTTTGTAGGAGAGTTTTGCTTGTCAGTGTCTTGATGAAGTTAAACTTTGTCTCTATGAATCTCACATTGATTAAGTACATTAGTTAGCAGCCTATTCGTTTCAAAGGAGGAGAATAATTAAGGATTTACTATGCAACCGTATATCCAAATATTTCCCTTTTCCATTTTAATTCCTCAAATCCATCTCACACAAACTATGCAGTACGAGCTCTTTAATAGAAACAATGTGTTACAGATTGCAAGGGAGTTGCGACTACGGGATATTGGTGGCATCATCGTGGTAGATTTCATTGATATGACAGATGAAGGTAAATAGAAGTCTCCCTCTTTTTTGGGCTAATGAATTATATAGTAAGTAAATGTGTTCTCAGATGTACTTTTAGAAGATTTTATTATACTGGTTGGAGTTTTAAAATTACCGTTGATATGTTCTTAAAAAGTAAAATATAATGACACTTCTGCATATGTGAGAGTCCCATAGCATTTAGACTTCCCTTTTTAAGTTTGTGACTGTAATTTGTGTCACTTTGCAAAATTTGCCAACCTAACCTATAGGTCATGCATGGTAATAATCACATGCTTGCAGATTAACTTGTCGATGGCAATAAAGTTTAATTATTGATGAATTATTTAGCCTGAATTTGGCACAAGGAAATTTTCTGTGCAGTAGTTTTTCATGGAGCTCCTCCTTCTTGTTAACTATTCTCCATCTGATTGAAACATATCTGATCTCTAATAAAAACCTGCAAGTGCTCCAAAAAAGGCTAAAGTGCAATCATGAATTTATGATTTTTTTCTCAATTTTGCAACGAAAATAGGAAACAGAACATTTTACTCTCTTTTCTTATTCTTTGTTCGTGTATTTATTCCCACCTAGTGTATTTATTCTCTTTTGAACTTAAATGGGTTTCTCCCTTTTAATTTCTTCACAATACTTATTCAAGGAATCATTTGATCAAAAAGTTTGAGCTGTTATGAAAGGAACAAAAATGGTTTTATCACTCTAACAAGGTCCTTGAAGTTAAGATCTCCTGAGCTTGAAATGTGAACCTAGGACAGGCTTGCAACAGTCTTTAGTATAATGTTACCCTAAAATTTCTTGATAAATGCTGAGATTAGTAGACCGCTTGATCTGTTGGGTTCTGATAACATGTCAAAAGGCCTCCTGCTCTAATAGCTTTAGTTGTTAAAGAATGCCCATAATAATTTAAAAAATTGTACCATCTCTCTTCAGAGGAAAAAGTATTAATTTTTCCCTTCTATCAGCAGTTGTACCGATTTTTGATTTCATGTTCTTTTTTGCTTTAACGAGTCTCACTATCACTTTGTACACAGAATTGATAGCATCCATATTCTCAGAAGAACTGTAATTTGCCTAAACAATCTGTATTGGGATGCAAAATATTTTGGAGCTAACTCTTTAATAAAACTAGTTATAAGGCACTAATGAGTCCCACTGAAGTCTTAAGTTGTTGACAATATTTATTTAAAGTGAATTCTTTTTTTGATCTTAATCTATCTTTTACTCCTGGCCTTTAGATTAAGTTATTAGGCCTCATTTTTATCACTCTGGACTGCCGTAGTTAATGCTTCAAACTTAAGCGCAAAGGAATAATAGATGTAAGAGAAAATAATCTGTGGACATAAAAAACGAAATAGACTGTCAATGATTGGATCACCTGAGTTTTGCAATCAAGTTTGTGGTTGCCCTTACACAATAAAAATGACAAGCATCTGGTTGACCCGGAACTTTGTGCTTTAAAGCTACCTAATGCCACATTAGATATCAGGTTTTGCCTGACTTTTATTATGTTTGAACTCTATTCTCACCCTGTGCCCTCATTCTATACCTTCATGTAGGAGTGAGGACTGGAGATGTGACTTATTAAGTCATCTAGCCTCAATGTAAACAATCTCCTGAATGTTATAATATTGTCAATTCTAGGTTGTTGATGCAATGATATTTAGCTTAAGGATGAAATAGTACATCATTTGTTATGCCACTCTGAAATGACTTCTCCCTAGGTGTTATTAGTCTTAATGTCCTTATCAATATATTTATTTATTGAATTTGGATTCTTCTTGATCAGTAAACAAAAGACTGGTCTATGAAGAAGTCAAGAAAGCCATTGAGAGAGACAGATCAATGGTGAAGGTCTCTGAATTGTCAAGACATGGACTCATGGAAATAACTCGAAAGAGGGTAGGTTGCTTGTCTATAGTGGATATATTAGCTATATGTTAGTTCATTATAGCAGACTTTACTGCAACAACACAATGATTGTACCTTGATGTAACAACTATGACTGCGTTTGGATTTGTTGAATCAGAAAAATGGAGGATAAATATGGAAATAGATAGATGTGAGATGAAATATGAGAAATTTTGAATTTTTTTTTCTTGAATGTTCATGTACAAATATTTTACAATATATAGACTAATGTGAATAATTGTTCTCCTCACAAAGAGCTGATTCTAGGAAAACAAATAAGAAGCAAATCAAACCTATAATGTGTCACATGTCTTTCCTATAATCTGTCCTATCATAATCTGTCTAACTAGAGAGAAAAAGAATATGTACTAATTACTCAATTGTTCATTCTATATTTACAATGTGCTTCATATGAAACATTAAGTGAGCAGCTTTTTCTTTTCTTTTCTTTTGCTACATATACTTCCATTGGTTTTATTCAAGTATAACATCTCAAATAGGGTGCCAATTTAATTTAACTTTCTGTTACTTTACTAATCATTGTCCTTCATGCTTGCCTCACGTCGTGACTCACTAAAATGACTATAGATTGACAAGAACAATGCATGAACTACAATTTGTTTAAGTTGCATTCTCCTCTGATGAATGTTGGCACAGCACCCAGTCAAGTTTAGTAAGATTCATTAAAATAAATTATGAATGCTTTGCCAATGTTTGACAGGTTCGACCAAGTGTGACATTCATGGTTAGTGAACCATGTGCTTGTTGCCATGCCACAGGCAGGGTTGAAGCTTTAGAGACGTCCTTCTCAAAAATTGAACAGCAAATCTGTCGGTTTCTTGTAAGTAGACATTTTCGGTCTCCGAATTTTGTTTCAGCCATAAGATCTTGGGGGAATAAAACCTGGAACATTAGTGTCAGAGACATTTGAAAAGCTCTATTTGACATTTCCTTAAGCACCTTTTATGTATTCAGTAAGATAGACTTTAGCTTCTTAGTGCATATTACCTGCTGCAATATATTTTTCTTCTTCCTTTACTCCTCTGAGTTTATGGTAACTCATTTCTGTAGATCATATTAGTGTTCTGTTCACTTCCCTCCCTATTGTTACTCATTGTGGTGAGTGTGATTTCTTGTTTCTCTCCATTCATATCCCAGGCAACAGTGGACCGTAAGGCAGACCCTGAAAACCCCAAGTCCTGGCCAAAATTTATTCTGAGGGTTGACCATCATATGTGTGAGTACTTGACTTCAGGGAAAAAGACAAGACTTGCAATATTGAGCAGCTCTCTCAAAGTCTGGATTCTCTTAAAGGTATAACTGATAAATGGATATTTCGCTTCAACGATTGTTGCTATGCTTATACAATTGTCACCATTCTTAGTTTCTTTCAGTTCAAAGTAATGGTAGGGTTGGATTTAAATTGCAAGGTATAGAGGCAAAGTCCTCACCGCCATCACAAAATAATAATGGACACTTGTTTTATTTACTTCTTCCACCTCAATTATATTTACAAAATTGCTTCCATAAAAATGAATATCGTATTAGTAGTCTATTTTTAAGTAGAATATATTTTGGAAAAGTTAACTTCGGAAAACTACTTTTGAAAGAATGACTGAATGTTTTTTATAAAAAAAATAAAAAAAAAATATGTTCACTCAAATAATTGTGGGTTTAGCATCCAAATATAACTTGCCTCTACGCTGTAATCTAATGGGTTTCTCCTAGATTTAATCTTGCACATGTCACATTGCTGTCTAGTGAATGACACGCAAGTGCAGTTGAGCTCTTTATAAAAGCCAGGTTGGAATTTTATCTATTGGGGTAATATTTCCGTCCTGTAAGATTTTTGGTGGCAAAGCCTATATTAAATGTGATTTTGGGTTGATAAAGCATTACTTTGAAAATGATTGTTGTAACATTTATTTCTCAGAAGCTTATATAATTTTCAAGTCCTGCATTGCTGAGCACTGATTCGCTGTTTTTAATTAATTCTTCAGGTTGCTAGAGGGTTCACTAGAGGATCATTCGAAGTCAAACCATTTGCAGATGACAAAGTGGAAAAAAACCAGCATCAAGTTGCCATTTCGATGTTAAGATCCTCAGAGTCCAGTATCAAAAAGCGTGGCCAAAATCTGACTCTTGTTCAAGTAAAAAAATCAAAGGCTAGGGGAAAATAAATAGTTCTTTCTTAAAATAGGGTTTTGTTCCTTTTTGTACACATGAATTTTGTTTATGCTATACATGGCATGGGGAGAACAACTACGAGGGTGGAAGAGCAAAAATAATCTGGTTGCACTTTTGAGTTTCTGAGTTAGAAATAGGCTGTTATGGTGCAGCTTTTAGGCGGATAAGTACCATCCAAAACTCATCACAGTGAACAGTTTTGTTGTAAAGAACGACTCTTTTTACCAAGTGATTACGAATAGCAGGTTTCACGACTTCATTTGAGCCCCTATCAAAAGGTGCATACCGAACAACGACCCTCAAAAGGATGAAAAAGAGAAACTGGTGTACTCAAGCAGTCATTAGGTATTGATCAGAGTAAGGATTCCCTACCCTAGTAATTAATGGAAAGATTGAATTCCTGTTTGAGCTGGGAAAAAAAAAATAGTTTAAGTGTTATCTTAAAGAACAGCATGAGCAAACCGTACAAAAGCTTTGTGCTTTTGTATAACTCTTGTGAATTTGTTACAATAGAGCTGCTCTATGAATGTTATTTACACACAATTTTTAAATGTTACTATTATTAATCGCTCAATATTTTATGATCACTTACTATATTCCTTCATCTTTATATTTACTGTTCCAATTGCCTTACTTAAGTAGTTTAACGAATTTTACGTACAATTTTCTGCTTTAGATTAGAACTGTGTTGCTGATGGTTCAGAATTGATGTCTAAATTAATTGTGTATTATTTAATTCATCCCGAAATAAATTATCCCTTCTAAAAGCAGCCAAAAGAGTGTTGTCAAGAAAAAAGTAAACGCCTGAGCTATTATTTTGCCAAAAGAATGTGTTCAACCCATAATATATTTTAAGTGTCATAGCAGTGGCCTAATTTCTACTTAAAGGAAATGACATTCGCGATGAAAACTATGAAGGATTATGATGGAGCTTGATGTTTTTTTATAAGCATTTATTCACCTACTCATTAGCCATTTTTGTCCCTTAAGATTTATTATTATTTTTTGGTACAGTGAAAGCTTAACTAACATTTAGTCATTTATGGCAATCAAAAAGCAGTTCAATCTTTGGTAATCAAAAAACATTTCAAGTAAGAAATATATCTTTGAAAAGCATTTCAAAAAGCTTTTTGATTACCCCCAACAACCCCAGACGCACATCGAAAAACTTCCCCTTCAGCGCTTTCATCTTGTCTTTATGGTAATCAAAAAGCATTTCAATCTTTGGAAATATCTTTTTCATAAGAAAGATATCATCATGCCTCAATATAGGAAACAAAATCAAGTACCAAAAATAACATACTCAACACTCCGAACAACTGACAACTAAAATAGCTATTATTATAGCATTGAATTTCTAGTAAATTGGTGTGGAAAAGCAAATGGGGAAAGTACAACATGAAAAACAAGGTCTAACATAAGCAGTTTTGTTCCAGCCTCCCCCAAACGGCTAATAATAATTTAAAAACGAAACAAATTTCAATTAAGAACACTTCAAAACTTCCAAGTAAATACTACTCTTACAATACAAAACTAAACAACTTTACTCTCACTGCTAAGACTATAAAGGTTACAAATTCTCAAATGCAACACATATAACAGCTAAAAGTACACGTGAGTATTTTTCAACGTATAAAACATTGAATTTTCAAGTCTCACAGAAATTTAGTTTGCTGCAACATTACAGGTATTAATACCGTCCTTGCAATCACTCGTCAAATCATTGAAAGTTTCAATCTGCTTTTTACCTCTCAAGAACACCTCTGTATCAATGGATACTCTCATGTAACCATCAAATTCTACAGGAATACCGTTATTGAGTTTAGTTGTCTCGGAGTACCATTCACTAGTTTCATCCCAAAGATCCTTATACTCATCCAGAAAATGAGTGGTATACTTATCTTTCAGAGGATCAAAGAAAGACGTATCAGGTTCATTTGTTGCTATGTAGAGGTTTCTTCCTTCATCAATCTTGTCCCGCAAGGTTGAGAGAAGTGCATCAGGTGAGGTATGTGCATCAAGATTAGGCCAAAGCTCCTTGTTCCTTGCCTTCTCCCCTCTCACAATGTGAACAGAGTCATAATCCCAGTTTAACCTTGAAGCTATGACAGACACTATATCCATCAACCTCCTTGATTTCCATATCAAATGCCATGGCCTTTGAACAACAGATTCTGTCTCTCCTTCACAGACTCTATACCAATAGTTATCCGGCTCAACAGATCCAAACTTTCTCATGATTAAAGCATCCTTCACATCCATAAGCTTCATGGGTGTGACCCTGAAATCCTCCACAAGGTGAAGAGCCATCCCATCTTTTTGTTGCCACTTTTTCCAATCTGCCCAAAACTGTTCCTTGTCCAATACAGAGGCGGCCTCCTTTAAATGCTCAAAATCAAAATAAAACCTGAAGTCTTTGCCTTCCTCATCCTGCTTTGAAGATGTGTAAATCGAAGACAGACATATGCTCAAATCCATAACCAATGTTCGGTTTAGATACTGAGCTTCCCCAAGAGCACACAAGAAACTCCACAAGTAATGATTTATGCTCTTACACCTGTCTCCACCACCCATATAAATCAAGTATTTACCATGACTAAATGAACTCTCAGATTCAACTACAGGGAGGCTGTCATTAACAAACTCTCCAACAACAGGCAATAAGTTCACCTGGTCCAGCTTTGGTGGCGACTTCTCTAGCCCAGGTTTTTGATTCTTCTTCCTCTTCCTTGCATTTCCACCAGAATGGTATTCCCCAATGCTAACAACACTAAGTGTACAATTCTCAGACCTATCAATCACAAATCTCCTATAATCCTTATAAAAAGCAGCAGCCTTCCCATCCTTAGGCCTAAACCGCCACGCCATATCGCAAGTACTATCATTGGACCCAGGAGCAGGTTTCCCAAATCGGTAAAAATGGATATCCTTAAACTTCTCAATAGTAGCCCTCATCATCATATGAAACACCTCCGGGTCCCTACAATCAATAGGGCCTCCCGCATTGCCCTCACATTGAGAGGCAGTAGTCTCAGTCTCACCGGATTGGGTGTTAACTGAGTTATCAACATCGGCCATGTTAATAATAGAGCCAAATACAGTTTCATTGGCAGCCATAAAATCCTCCCCAGTTCTAACAACAGTGTTATCAGACTTAAAAGTGGCATTGGATTTGGAAGTTAGGAATGTAGTGATCTTGGTTGAAGGGTGAAACAAGGGATCCTCTGGTTCATAAGTGGCAGCTATAATGGTAAACACCAAGACCCCAATAACAAACACGGAGAAGCAAACATTCCCAATCATGGCCATGGCATTCTGCCCTAAATTTTCTGGCCGGAAACTTCCAGTTCTGGAAAACGCAGACCGACCCAACATTGCTAATTGTCTATTAGATCACCCCCCAAAATATATATCCTGCATAAACATGAGAAAAAAAAAAAAAAAAGATACCCAGTAAACTAAAATGGATTGAAATAGCAATAAGAGCTTTAAAGTAACCATTTTTATTTTTATTTTTCCCAATGGAGAGAGTAACGAGTAATGGAATTATAAGATCTGAAAATGAAAGGAAGCAGAAGAAGCTATGTTCGAAAGTGAAAAAAGAAAAGAAAAGAAAAAAGAAAACCCATTTATCAAAATTGCAAGATCTAAATGCAGAATTGGTAACAAACCTGTTAATCTAGCTATCTTGACAGATGAGGAATCAAGCAAGCAAAAGGGTGTCTCTTTCTGTCTGTCTCTCACTCACTCACTCATGAAAAGTCTTCACCTGTGCTGTGCCTCATTGTAAATTTGTACTGCAAGTCGTCACACATCAAGGACAAAATTTTATTAATTAAATAATATAAGGACCCACTTTTTAGGTGGTGATTGGTTGGGAGCTTTTCAGCGGATATCTATCTTTCTCTTTCTCAAGTATGACTTTTAGAAACACCATGTTTGTTTCAACGTTTTTCACCAAAAACCCATCTATCCAATTTGTCTGGATTTATGAGAAACATAGATATCCGCACTGTTTAGAAACCCAATTTGAAGGTGAATTTTTCGGAAAACCGGTTATCTGGCTTTTAATGCACTGTTGATTCCATAAAGTTACCTAATCTTCCCAGTAAAATTTTTTCCCACCAAACAACTTTTTTTTACATTTTTCTACCTATCTCACTCTATCTATTTTTCTAATCATTTCTCTATCTATCTCATTTCCCTACTATTTCAAAAAAAATTCCTGAACCGAAGGTCGTTTTATTTTTATTTTTTAAATTATATATTCCATATTACATATCACATATTAAATATGAGAAAGATATTGTAAGAATAAGTTGTGTGACTACCAATCAATCTCATCGTTAGATCGATTATGATTATGTTGATCTAATGGTTATATATATTTTTATCTTTGTATGATTATGATTCCTCATATTTAAAGTGAATGTATTAAATATAAAAAATCATAACCATACAAAGGTAGAAATAAATATAAAGTATTAAATTTGAGAAATCATGACTACACAAAGATGGAAATAAATATAACTGTTGAATCAACATAATCGATCTAACGGTGAGATTGATTGATAGTAACTTAATTGTAATAATATTTTTCTCCTATTAAATAATAAAAATTATAAATCAAGGATATGCAGATAATTTATCTGCAAACCTATATGCAGTGAAACGAACCCTAAAAAAAATCAATACAATATTTCCTTTTTCATTTTTTTTTTAAAAGGACAGAATTGATCTCTAATATATTTAAAAAAAAAAAAGAAAAGATTGTGAATGTGTGATAGAGTAAACTTGTGGGCGCAATGTGTACACAGTCAGTCACACAGAGAACGTGGTAGAGATGTAGGCGACAAAAATGACGTAGGCGAAGATATAAAAAAGTCTAGCGTAATGCGCACGATCATGATCATGGTCATGGTCATAGATAATATTGTATTATTATTAATTTGATGGAAGAACATGGTACAGTATATGGTCATAGATTTGCACTCTTTAAGTTTTATATGAAAAAAATAAAAAAATAAAAAAATATCATATAATTACATAATTGATCACAGTTATTCATTTAAAAATTATATATATTTTTTCTTTTATCTGATCATAAATAAATGAAAATAAATAATTTTAATTAAATAATATGATCATTTTTTCAAATGAAATTATATAAATTCATCGTAGACATGGTCGTGAGATGGGAAATGATCTTTATATGGAAATGAAAGAATCTGGAGTAATTAACGAAAAAAATATTGCGGAATCCAAAGTAGCTCTCGTATATGGTCAAATGAATGAACTACACATGCATAGTAGAGTAGCATAGCACATACTTTATTTATCACCGACAGTGGCAAAAAGGTAATTCTCCAGTGAAGTGTTATAGCAAGCACCACGCCTGTGCATTTATATGGTATTACTCCACTGTTGCAGCTGCCACCGAGTCCGATACTTTTTGGTAGAGGTGGCAATATGGGTTTAATCCGACGGGTCAACCCGCCAGCCCGTCAAAACGGGGCGGGTTGGGTTACACTTTTCAACCCACCAACCCACCTCAACCCGCCCCGTTTAGTAGTGGGTTAAAATGGGTTGGTGGCGGGTCAGGTCGGGTCGGCCCGCGGGTTAGTTTTTTTTTTTTTTTTTTTTTTTTTACTATTAGGTAGTATTTTATTTGTCACTAAGCTTTTGTGATATACATTTTTTTTATTTTAGTACTCCCCTAGAAAAATAAAGAAAAAAAACTTTACTTATGACAAAGATTATCCATATATAGAGGCAAAATTAAGTTTTTAAAAAATATTTGACTGAATATTAGCGTATATTTAGGCTTGAGATTGAAAAAAATTAAGGGAAATATGAAATAAAAATAAGTAATATTATAAAATTAATAATTATAATTTTTTATTATTTTTAATTATTTTTTGTTTTTTAAGCGGGTTGACCCGCCAACCCGCCAACCCACCTCAAAACGGGGTGGGTTGATGTTTCCAACCCACCATCAAACGGCGGGTCAACCCGCCCCGCCCCGCTTTTGGCGGGTTGAAGGCGGGTCGGGGCGGGTCGGGACGGGTTGGCCCGTTTTGCCACCTCTACTTTTTGGACAGTTTAATCGAATGAGAAAAATTGTAGATGTCTTTTTCTGTCTAGCTTTGTCTGTTACTATAAAATGTTATTATATTAAAATCTTAACAAATTTTTATCTTTTTCTCTCTTACTTATATTCTGATCTAAGTAGAAAAAATAATAGATAGAATAATTTGTCCTATTTTTTTTATAAATTCTTACTAATTATGTTATATACTATAAATAGAACATATTATTTGAATATATATTACCCATAATATATAATATAATTCATAAAAATTTGTAAAGAAAAAATTTATAAATATAACTTATTTCTTAGCTGAATAAGGAATTTTTAAATTTTATTTTAAATTTTTTTGACTTCAAAATGAAAAAATAAAATAAAATATTTGTTTTGTAAAAATAATTTTGAAAATTATAAATTTTTTTAAATTAAATTTAAAAGAAAAGATTTCAATTGTTTCTGTTTTGTATTTTAATTTTTAATTTTCATAGTAAAAAAATACAGAAAATACTCATTTCATTTATTATTCTAAACAAAAATTATAAAAAAAGAACAATTAAACGGGTCTAAGGTTTTAGTTTTATTTTCACACCACCATGCAGGATGTGATGCTTTTATGGTCATAAATAAAAGCTACGTTTAAAGGAGAATGTTATATTTACAAATTTTTTACTTATAAATTCTTATAAACTATACTAAGTATGACTGGTTATACTTCAATCAAGAGTGTATGACCGATCATATTTAATGTAATTTGTAAAAAAAAAATATAAACGGATCATTTCCCATATTTAAATAGCATATTATGCTTTTATTTTATGGTTGTAAAACTAAAACCTAGTTTATACAACATGGTTTTATTGTCAAACCAAGTTTTATTTTTGTTCGTGTCATAATCATTGGCAATAAATTTAATATTCTTATGATTATTTATCATAAAAAAAAAATCAATCAAGATATAATCATCATGAATTATTTTGATAGAACATACATTGATTATATTAAAAATAAATATGAGATGATTCATTTTCACTTTTGACAGGATATATGAGAAATTATTGTATAATTTTAATTTATACAGGTTATGTAAATTAATTGTTAAATTAATGAACAAATATGATCAATTTAACTATAAAATAATTATATAATATAAAAACTTATAGTTATTTAATATAAAATAAGTCATGTATCAGATATTGATTGATTTCGACTGCATAATTCAAAGGAAACAAAATCTTTCATAGTTCATAACCAGGGCAAAAACAAACAGTACATGAAAGGGCAGATTCCTTTATATGTGCACAGTAACCTGGTTAAGGTATACAGTGTAATTATGAGTCATGAGGTTAACAGATCCACCCCAAGTTAGTCCAGTAAACAACATTACACTAGTTATGTAGAGCAGCTTAGACTCGCTTTTGATGGTGATCTAGCTAAAATACTTGCTGGCCCCAAAAGAAAAAAAAAAAAAAAAAACAACATATGTACAGGTTAAAACTGAATTGTTCATGATTGCTTGTTGAGCAAAAAAGGTATACTTCAAGTGGATGGAATCACAGAAGGAGTACAAGATGCAGCCCTATGCTGGATGCAGTTCATGCTGTGTTCCATACTCCTTTGAACCATATCTTGCAATAACCTTTTGGCAGTTTCAGCAGCTTTATCTACTCCATCTACCCGTTCAGCAATGTCATAAACAATTTTCTCCAAAACTGAGGGGGCTAGTCTTTTTTCTGGGGGAGAATCTCTGAGCAAATCCAGAAGCACACGGGCTCTTTCTTGAGCTTCAGCTGTGCCCTCCACTGTCAGTCGTAACAGACCCGGGATTGCTCCTTCTTTAAGAATCAGTTCCCGGTATTTATCTCGGCAGCTTTGACATAATGATAGCAAAGTTCCAACAGCATGCTCTGTGCTGACAAGTGATCCATCTTCAACTGTTTCTACTAGGGTTAAAATTCCAGCATCTGCATTCGAGATTGCATTTCGTCCCTCTTCGGAGTTGGAAAGGAGTTCAAGTAATGCTGTAGCTTTTTCTGCAAACTTGGAATACTTCTTGCACTCTTTAAGGAGATTGATAAGAGGGGAAACAGCACTAGCATCAATAAGTTCAGTGGAATTCTCAATGCTAGTGGAAAGATTATGGAGGACTGTAACAGCATCAACTTTGCCTTGAACACTTCCAGAGTTGAGAATCTGAACAAGGAGAGGTGCAGCTCCAGAAGCAGCAATAATGGGCTTGTTGGCTGCAGCAGCTGAGAGTGTCAAGATTGCTGCCGTAGCTAATTCTCTTATACTACTGTTTTGCATCTTGAGGAGCTCCACCAGAGGAGGCATGGCACCAGCTGTCACTATTTTGACCTTGTTTCTAACAAATACGAACTCCAAAATGTTATACAAAGAACTATATGAATATACTTTCCCTATTTAAGAGAAACATAAAAGAAAAGTTAGTGCAAAATGCTTCACCCTCGTTAGGCTCAATGTATCCAGTAAACATACATTTTCTAGGGTTGAAACAGAAAATAATGATATATGCCACACTCTAAAAATGTCTGCCTGAGTCATCGCTAAATAAGTCAACTTGGTAGTCAAACATATGTAGAAGCACTCGTATTAATGATCAGATTGGATCTATAACTAACAGTTGGTTCTCTCAATCATCAGTACAGTATCACTATAAAGTCAATATTCATTTCATATTAAGAAAGAGTATTGAATACTCATAGAAAAGATTAACATCACTAGCATCTTCATCTTAACAAGCCAATCGAGAAAATAGTCCTACACAAGAATGAGAGCCACAAGCAAAATCAATTACCCACCCAAACATTTAGTATTGATCAATTTCACCCTAGATCTCATTTTGGTTGCTAAGGTCGGGAGTTAAAAATCCATTTAACCAACTCTCAAAGGGATTGACAAACAAAAGGATCAGCAAGTGGATGCCTTGCACTAAATATCAAATTGTTTTGTTCCCTGATTGTTTGTAGAAAAACAAGACGGAGAAACAAAAAAAATTAGATTACCAAGTAATTCTTTTCAATGCATCATTTCAATGACATGCAAATAAGAAATTTTAGCTTCTAGGATTCTAGCATTCCAGACTAGGCAGTATAGTTATCTATTCAGCAAGGCTTTATGCAACTTTTTGGCTTAGTTTATCAAATCCAACCACAGGAGACATTGGATTCAAACACCGTATACATGGGATTCTTATCCTCAAACTTCATCAAGTTGTTCAACATTGAAAAGATCAGTTGCCAAATTTCTGTTTCAACCTACGGAACTCTTTTGAATACGGAAGCCACCGAATAGGGGATAAAACAGGTAACGCCACATAATCCAAAAATTCACTAGCATCAAATTGAGAAGTATGGTTAATATCCCATATCAGAGAACAGTGGGAAAACAGTGCAAATCTGTCAGTGATTACTGCTTGTAGTAGGTAATCTATCTACACAACCAATTTCTCTCCATTGGTTAGTAGCATCACAGCTGCTGGTTCAGCAAGGACATAACATTAGGGCAGGATGATGTGAAGCAACAATTGAACAGCCTAGTAATTTATCTAAATGTATAATCTAGTATCCACTTTTGTTATAAAGGTTAGCAATCCTTACAAACTACTTTATGCCATGTTCTTTATCCGTTGTTTGAGTAGTGGACCATATCAAGGCAATCAGCAGAACCCCAAACCTAAAACCTATGCCGATTCTGACCCACTTAATCTGATTCAGCCCACATATCCATCCACCACAAAGACCCAATTCATTATGTTCATTTGATTGATTGGGTATACCCAGGACCTGATCTGACCATCCCATACCAATCCTAATAGATACTCCACAAACAGGATGCATGTCAGAAAGGTGTTGGCTGGACAAGTAACAGAATTTTCCAATCCATCAAAATAATCATTAGCAGATGTAGTACGCACCCGAGGTAAAGGCATCACCTTGGAGGCATATACATAGGGGGGGTACCACAAAGACCCCTCCTGTGTTCATTTCCAGCCTAGACATATCTAAACCCACCTCACTCAACACTAATTTGAGAGTTAGAGTGTCATTGCATGTAGCCCCGCCGCGGCGGCTGACTGAGCCTGGAGACACTCAGCATGATTCCAACCACCCCAGATCGTCTCCCAAGCTTCAGGCTAGAACAGGTAGCATATTTATTATTTTCTCTTTAATCATGCTTACGACCACTACAGTATAAAATTGCACAAATTCAGTCATAAAGGTTATCAAATCGCAATTCAAATTGTGAATTGCCAAACTAATTTTTGAATCGTGAATCATAAACCGTATTGAATCATAATCTAAAGACACGATGAACAATAGCTTGAAATATATCATATAAATGATATATAATCCTCAATGTAATATTTTAAACTAGGAACTAGAAATTGACAAAACAACTTAACCATAAGTCTCAAAAAAACAAAATCATAAGTCATAATTGAGTGACATAAAATTCTCAAAAGAACGAAAGCAAAGCAATGATATAACCAGATAAAGTGCATGGAGAGGGAGCAAGTGATTGTGTGAAGCCTCTATTTCAGAAGAATGAAAACAAAGTAACAGAATAGCCAAATAAGATGCATAGAGCGAGTGACTGATTGCATGAAACCCTTGTTTTAGAAGAATGAAAATCGGGCAACGAAATAATCAAATAGGGTTTAATGGTGTTTCTTTAGTTCCCTTTGATTTAACAACATTAAGCTTATTTGACTTTTCAATTCTTTAGTATGAATTGATTAAAGAAAAGCAAAAAAGAAAAACAATTAATGAATTGCCGAATCGTGTGATTTGTATCGATGATGTGGAATCACATTGTTCCATGAATGTATCACATGATTCAAAGACATTTCCTATTCATCGCATGATTCGAAACACTGGCTCAGCAAATTGTATCGAATTATGCGATTCAAATCGCGAATGGTGCAATTCTAACAACTATCTAAATGTCACTGTATGTTGTGAGAACAACTCAGGAAAAAGCAGGAACTGTATCTTATAATATTAAGACTCTCAAATTGAAAAAAAGATAAACATAGAAGCAATAAAATTCGGAAATTGGAACACAACCTATAATAATGTGGTATCATTGATTAAGGGTCGTCGGTTGCAAGGATGATTTTTTTAAAGGAAGATCGCTCAGGCCCTTTGAATTAAAAACCATTAAAAAATGTCTAGACAAATATATCGCATTTATAAAGAGATAGCCAAAAATACAATATGTATAACTGTATTATGAATGTAGGACTCTTAAGTGCTTGTTTGTTTTTGCTTAATTCCTATGCAAAAACAGCTTTTTTAGCCAAAAGTTATTTTTGCAGCATTTTGAGCTAAAAATAAGCTAATCAAACCACGAACAAAGTACTCTTAACATTTATTATATATTCACATAGATTTGGATGACGTGCATGTTTGTGCTTGATCTAGGATAAGTGATTTTGAAAGGAATGTATAATACAATAATTGGTTTTGGAAGAAACAGTTTTGTTTGAACAGTGTCGTGGAAAATAACTTTCGAGAGAGGAATTATTTATCAACAAATTAGTGTTTTTGGGAAATAAAAAAAATATATCCGTGAGTTAAAGCTATTATCTTGTGATTTAACCTATCCCTTTTCCCCATTAGCATGTAAATATGGTGAATTCCATAATAATACTTAATCCATGCTCAAAAAGGAACCAAGAAAAACACTGCACACTTGACTTGATTCTCTCTCAAAAACAATATCTGAGAGATGAAAATTCAGCGAAAGCAACGAAACCCAACCACTATATAAGATTTGGACGACTACCCACGAATTAAATCGGCAGACCCATATGAGATTTGAAATAAAGCATGCATCTTGAGAGATGAGAGAATAGTGGGGGGTAGTACCGTTCGTTGCGAACAGCGAGATTGAGGAGAGCGAGGAGAGAAGATTCACGTGCATCGATGTTGGAAGAAGAGAGCATGAAGACAAGTGGTTGAATGACACCAGCAGCGGCGAATTTGGAGCGTGTCTTAGACGATGATGATTTGCGAACAACCTTCCTAATTTCTCTGGCAGCTTCTATCTTCGAGTTAAGGTTCCCATTCATCAGCTTCTCCGATAACTGCACTATCTGGCTATGTTTCCCAAGGTTCCATGTTGATGTTGTCTCCTTCTCTTCTCCTTCTCCTTCTACCTCGACTTCTACTATGCTCTCTCCCTCTCCCATCTCTCTCTCTCTCTCTCTCTCTCACACACACACACACACACCCCTCCGAGAGAGTTTGCTTTCTCCTAATTCCCGAAACCAATTCCCAAAAATAAGGATAATATTTAGAAAGAAATAAATCATAAATTATTGTGAATAAAATACGCTTTATAACTCCACTTGTACACGTACCTAGCTTATTTACATACATGGACTTGAAGTAGTGAAATGTGTATAAGGCATTGATATAGTATTATCCAATTATGTATTGTGAATGAATATATGGATGACAAAATAAAATTATAGGTGTGTAAAAAATCAAATAACTATAATGATATTGGAACAACTTCTCTTTATATGGATTTGATAATATTTTAGCCAGATTAATTGGATTTGTGATAAATCGGTTGAGAAAAAGAGAGAGTTATAATCAAAATAATAAAATAGGTATGTTCAATCTAAGGGGAACAATAATGTCCAACTGGAAATTGGTGAGTCAATATCGGATAAGTACGTTTGCATATATTTATATCTATGAGAAAAATACAACAAATGTCGTAAATTAATGTGCACAAGGAAAAATGATGTAGTTAGAGCATAAAGTGTATATATAATGATAACTAAGAGTATATAGAGTGTGGGGTGTGTGCAGAGTTATCTTCTAGTGATAGGATAGCTCTGTCCTTATCTTCTTAGTTAGTCACGAATAGGATGTTAAGATATGGGCCATTAAGATGATCCATAACAATGTAGAAACAGGTGATGTGTGTAAATAACATTATTAATTATTACATTGTTAAAAATATTTTACTATCACGATCACTTGTTTATAACTCTAATCTTGTTGCTATCAAGGTATGAAACGTATACCTTAGTCCTTGGCTATTAATAGTTCAATTTTGATATACAATCAATGTAAGAAAAAATTTACACCTAAAAAACACCCAACCATGTCTCAACTGTCAATCTTCTGGATAATTCTTTATTTCTATTTTGAAGAAGATTCTATTGGAATAATTCTTTATTTCTATTTTGGTATATTTGGTCTTTTTTTATCTTTCTTTTTTTCAAAAAAAATGGGGATAAATGAAAAAAATAATAATAATATTGAAACATAACTTTTGAAGAAATGATGAATGGAGAGTTCATTTTGGCCACGGGAAATTGATAACACATGAAATGTTAAATTTATTAATTGACATAGCAATCATTACATAACATTGTAAAACTTTTTGACATTAACAATGTATTAAAATTAAATTTATCTGTTAATATATGAATTTATAGTATAAAAATACTTCTATAAAGTACGTGAAATATGTAATAATTTAGATATAAGTTACAATAAGACTAATTTATTCAATAGCTACGTGATCAACGTGTAAATGTACAATTTTTTTCAGTTGTAGTTTAGTATATTTTTATTATTTATTGAACAACCAAATATTTATCTACCAAAAAACAAAACAACCAAATATTTTTATGTTATTCTTTTTCTATGCTCTAACAAAAAGTGACATATTTGCTAATTGCTTCCTTTCTCACTTCACACCCTCGAGTAATTTTGCATTTTCTGTCCACTTATATCGGCTAATGCCACACGTACATGTATGTTTAAGTTGCTCACAAACGACAATTAATTCATGGGAATAAACTCCATTGTTAAGATAACAATTCAAAACAATTATTAAATAAATAACCATTATTTCAATGGTCGAAATTGAGCTGAATGCTGAGTATAGACTCATCCTTGTAAAAACAGACTCCTAACATTGACAAACGAGATGCAAGAAGCTATAAAGAAAAACCTTCATTTCGTTATTTTTAACGTTTCAGCATTCTTAATGCTCCCTATACCAATCATCAACGTTATATTATTGTCATTTCATATATGATAGAAATATTCCAATTCATTTGATTTCACCATGCGGGCCAAAGATAACCGTCATCTAGGTGCATTAACGATGCAGTGCAATTACCCTACATAATGGCTAAGGGATGAAACATAACTACCAAGCATTCTTTGGATTTAGAGTACAATGTATAATCCTGTTACGTAAATTATCATACACATTCTCAGACACTAGTAGGAACAAACTGAGAATGGGAGTCAAAACATGGCCAATAAATAAAAAATAAAAAATTCCACAGATCTATCATTAGAATCAATTGCACATGTGTCCCTAAGACTAAACCCAACTTTTCTGTAAACCATGACAAGCAGTATTGAATCTATTGATGCATCATTACTTAGCTGAAGACAATCGGAAGTTTACTTTGCCCATAGCAATACAACAGCTTAAGTAAACAATTTTCTTGCTATCAAAATTCACTTTACAGGTAAGACAAGGGGCAATAGAAAAGCTTTCCCCAACAACCTAAACCTTCCAAACCCTATAAATTCAAACTAAAAAAAAAAAAGAATCAACATTTTTCATCACTCAACAATACTTCAAGGACCTGAATAAAAGAAAGGGAGGGGAAAAGCTTGGAGCTATGAAAAGGTATTAATGGTAACACGAAATAGCAGGAGTAAAAAAGAGAAGGCCTGCATATGTTTCTACCTCGTCTAACTTTAATGGTCAATATCGGTTACAGGTGTCCTACCTTTCATGTCCTCAACCGAAGCATCAGAAGATCATATTGGCAAAGTTTTCAGCTTCTTAAACTCAAATGTAGCCGATTGCCATGTTCTCCTCATGGAAATCCAACCATATTTTGGTGTTTGCCAAAGTTTTTCCCCAGATAGGACTCAATTTAGCTGTCAGAAAGACACTCTGCCTCAGTAGTTGCTCGGCCAATTCATCTGTGCATGCTGAGGCTGCTGATAAACATTGCCTCCAGGTCCTACCATATCAACTGCTCCAGCCATTGTCTGGGATTGTTGTAGCAGTGGATGAACTGCTGCGGCTGTCACTGTTTGTGCAGGGTGATAGATGCCTGCAAAGGTGCCATGACCCGCCTGAGTAGGGGCAAATGTCACATGCTGACCCTGAGGTGGAACATTGTAGAATGAACTAGTGGGCAAATTGCTAATGTCTCGGCCAGGTGCAGCCAACCACACTGCTGAACCTTCGCTCTGCAGTGAAAATACAGAACATAATTATCATCAAACATAGGTCTTCTGGTACCGAAAATATAAACACAAGTCAAGTACAGAAGTAAATTTTATGATATATGCTTTTCATAACTGTCTTGCAGGAGCTGGTAAAACCTGCAAAACTTAATTTAACTTCTGTACGTGACTGTGGTCTTTCTTTGGCCATTCAAATAAAAGGCCGTTAAAATCATAATCAAATTAACAAACTGAAGAAATTCATAAGGAACGAACCTGTTGTCCGCTGATGTATACATTACTTTCCTTGAACTGGGAGGAACCAAGATCCTCATTAGAGGCTGAATTCCCTGCAGTGGTTGCAGAATTATGACTGTAACCAGCTGGAGAGGAGCCATATACTCCATAGGCACTTGGCATTACAAGGTGAGTTGGGTTTGCTGCATTTGCTCCAGGTTTGAAATGTGAAAGAGGATATTTCATTCCTGCGGCAGCCATAGCTGGGGGAGGTGGATATACAGTGCTGGCCTGAGGTTGTTGAGGAAATGCACCATTACCCAAAAATTGATGGATTGCAGGAGGTGGGACGTAATATGGTGAAAAATAGTGACCATAAGGAATGTAGTTAGGAGGGTAATGGGATAAATGAACCCCAGTTGGTCGGAACACAGGGACAGGCTGCTGAGTAACAGCTATTGAGCTTTGCATCAGCCCAGCAGCTTGAGTCACGAGTGGTGATGGACTTGTAGACGACAAGACACCTCCCTGCAATTACACATAAAATCGCATAAATTTTTAAAAAACTCATGTCTGTGTGGATCAATTAGATGGTCAAAGCGCTTAAGTATTTAAAGATTGGGGCTCTTCCTCATGATTTCCCAAAATGATACAATTTTACTTCCAGAAAATCTGATTTAAAACATTATTATTAATAGTATTATGAAGTCAGTTCTTGCCAGCATCAGTACACCAAGAAAGAACAAGCTCAAAAACCCATCTAAGTGCCAAGAAGAAATGCACAGACAACAGCCCAACATAGAAAAGAGAGTGCATAGGAGCAGACAGACTACATTTATAAAAAGAAACAAAGTTGAATGACCGCAAACTATTTAAAAAAAAAAGCTCACAAACCCATACAAATGCCAAGACCCAAGAAGAACTCCATAGCCAACATCCCAACACAGAAAGGGCATGTGAGAAGACAGACTAAAAAGAAACAAAGTTGAATGAGCGCACAGAATTTTATATGCTTATTAAATCATCTAACAAATAATAGAAGCATCACCATTTTGAGTGCACCATAGCAGCCCATGATAAATTATCACTCTAATAGAATATATATCTCTAATTTAGTAATGCATCTTGTCAATAACTAACTCTTCCAAATGCTTAACTTGTTAGGTAGAGGTTCATCAATGATTTTTATATCTTTAACACACTCCATCACACAAAGGCCCTTTAGACTTGAAGAATAAATTATGCATAGACATATTCTATCTTGTGCTGAAATTTAGCTTTATTTGAGAGAATGGGGGCGGCAATAATCAAACTCTTGACAACAACTTGATCATATAGGATGTAATACCATATGAGAGAAGTTCAAGATTTTAGAGAACATGGAAGAAGAATAGTAACAAGATGAGGTAACAAAAGATGGTACCACTCTAATACCACAATAAGGACCAATTCTCTCAAAAGCTTTTGTTAAGTAGAGGCTCTGAATGGCTGGCTTTATATCTTTAACACTTCCCAATTCCACTCCTATGCCTATGATCAATTCCACTTAACACAAAATTTTAGAGTAACAGCTTGACAGAATCTCTAGAAATAATCAGGTTCTATATTGTCAGTTTCCACTCCTCTATTCACAATTTTCCCACAATCACTGATTAATTCAACTTTACAAAAAAATTTAAATTGACAATTGGAAAGAAAGTCTAGAAAATAAACATGTTCATGAAATGCTTAGGTTAAGAACATTCAAGAGAACCCAGCTCAGAGTCATATATAGGGGCCAACCATACTTTCGACCATCACTTCTATAAACATTGAATAAATGGATCAAATAAATACTAAAATATCATTTCAGAAATGGATCAAACATATACTAGACATCATATCCTTTTCAAAAAAAACATTCATCCTACGATATTCTAAGTAATTAAACTATGCTGCCAAATATGCATAATACTGATACAGAATTAGAAATCAAACGCAATTTTATAATATAAGACACGAGCATAAAAAACAGTATAAAGGAAATAATAATAATATTTTAACATTGCCATTGTACTTGAAAAATAACATTTTATATGGTTGGTTCAGAAATAAATTTAAATAGCAATAGTATCAATGCAAACCTCTTGAGGAGACTGAGAATTTGGTGCAGGCAGAACTGTAACATTGCCATTGTACTTGGTGGTAGGCCCAGCAGAAGGAAAAGGAGAAAGATGACCATCACTATCAGCACCTGAGCGGTAAAACTGGGCATAATAACTAGTTGGATCAAATGGTTGATGGACCTATAGTAAGATAACAAACAAACGAAACTTGTTAAGCAACAAAATGCATACTGAACTAAACAATGAACAAAAGCACATATAGGATGCAGGGCTCACAACATAGCTTGGAAGCCTAGAAATATCACGTGTTTGAGACTCAGAATTGTCAAGTGGTGTAACCTGAGTACCCAACATTGGGGGCACAAAACCAAAATTGTAGTTAGGAGAAGTATGCACCCCTGAGTACTGATGACCTCCAGATGGCAAAGCAGTGTCTTGCTTGGACTCATTATACTCCTGAATAGCACCGGATGACCCATCAACCTCACTGGATGATAAATTCTCAGGTACATTAGTGGGTGATTCTGGATGGTCAGGATAATCTCCCACCTCAGAAGTAACCACAGCATTTTGACTGTTGAATTATAAGACATAATTCATCAGAAGGATAAAATGGAAAACTACTGAAAATTGAGTTAAAATGCTTTCACAAAAACACTAGTAGACAATACAACAGGTATATATGGTTGGAAATAAGAATAGAAAATATAAGATACTTGTTGCACCAAAAAACTGCAAAATGTGTAAAGAGTAATATGTAGGCTCTTAGAAAAGACTATACCACCCAGAGCAAATGAAAGTAAAAGAAAATTAATTTAGGCTAGTCACTTCTATGCACTATCATTTATCCAGCGCAAAGATTCAATTCTCAGAAGTTAGAAAAATTAAGCCTTGACAATGATAAGCTAGTTATATTACCTAGTCATAGAGTCACTCACATAACAAGCTGTATTAAAAATGTTTGTTCTTTCCATTAACATACTGAAAGTACTTCTATAGTTCTATATTTATATTCTTTATAAGGTTTAATTAAATTCGTCAAAATCAGATTCTAAGTCTTCAACAAACTAGATTTGCATAGCAGAGAGTTAAGCATTACAACCTTGAGTCCTGCTCCCCCACAGTTTCTTCAATATCCTGAGATGTTTCAGAAAGATATGTAGAACTTTTTTCGCTCTCTGGGCCACTAACATAGTTTGCATTAACTCCAAAAGTGACTCCCAAACTTCCAAAGCTAAACTTGTTCTTCTCAGAATCAGGCACAATGATATGGTTTGGAAGGATAACATGTTGACGCTGTGGAAGATGAAAATCCTCCAGCTTCCTCTGCAGTTTTGAAGTAGCTTCTTCAGAGTCAAGGGCACTAGATGCAGACAGTAACTGCCCAGTTACTTTGGCTGAAACAGAAGGAGCCTCAGATGCACTAGCAGTTCCAGAACCCTGATTAATCGTATTTGTTGGCTTTGGTTTCCACTCCTTATTAGAACCAGCTGTCGGAAACAGAAACGAATTATAAATCTTGTGCAACTTAACCTAACAACCTTAACAAATATGCCTTATCCTGCTTCGGCTACATGGATTAAATGACACCATTGGGAAAACAAGTCAATCAATCATCATAAATGGCCAGAGTCAGTAAAAATTATAAGTGCACTAACCCTTAGCAGCATATCTATCCAAATCTATACAAACATGCACCTGCCAATATGTTAAAATTCAAACCATACATCTAGACAGTTAAAGACACCTGAATACGGTTATTAAATGGGTAATAAGTAATGACCAAATCTTTAACAATCACGCAATAACATACATAATAAGATACAACCAATATTAAGCATCACGAATACCTTAGTAGTTAAGTGATAAAACTTAACTATAATATCATGATAAAACTTCTACAACAACTAACTCAACAAAATAAAACATAATTTGGTATTAGTAAAAAAAACGTGACATGGCTATACTAAAGGAAAAATTTAAATCTTAGTAGTTACTAATCACAATTGAAGTTTTTTAATTTTTACTTTATGTATGAGACTTCCTATAAAGACTTAAGTGCAGGCTAGTATTGCAGCTTTAGTTCGTTGATTAAAATAATGCTTTCTTCCTAAACTTCTCTTAATCCTCTCTACTTTCTCTTTTCCCTTATCGGTTCAACATTAGCAATTTTCAGGCCAAACTTAGAAACAATAAAAAATTAAGGAAGATGGATGCAGACACATACAAAGGAAACAACGCTCTTACTCATCACCAGATCACACTGTTGAAAGAGAGAATTATTTATTATTAAGAGAAATTGTGTTAGGCTACACACATGCTTTGGTATTTATTGATTGATTTACAATCATTCGAAGAGTAATCTTAACTGACAAAAAACAAATCTCTAGCCTAATAATCTTTACTTGATCATTCTAATCTAATCAACATAAATATAGTTGACTATATATTCTAACATAAATGATAATAATCGAATATAAACGTTAATATTATACCACTCCCCTTTGACAGAAGCTATTAAAATCTCAGGTAGTTACAAATAAGCTCAGAAAAATAATGGGAAATACAGCCAAACAGACCCCAAGAATCAGCAACCCATGTAGGAATAAGACCAAATAGGCCTAATACAAGGAAAACAGAAGAAAATGTAGTGAACACATGTCCAACCAGCTGCAGCTTCACACAGAGGATAAGTCACAGCAGATAAATAGCCAAACATCCCCTTGGAGTGGTGGAACCAAGGTAAAAGAGGTGAATTAGTCTAGAAAAGGCCCAGCGAGCATCTCTGTTGAAGTCTCTGCCAGAAAAGGTGGCACAAGAAAATGGACCCGACAAAGCTCAGTCCAAATAAAGAGCACAATACTGGATGGAGGAAGGAACCACTGGTCATTGCAAAGTGGGTGAGCATGGAGGTGGCAGCAGGAACTTGCTGGAATTAAAGCACACTGGGGAGAGAGACTACAGAAATAGAGTTATGGCAAAAGGACAGGGCAGGAGTTGAATGCAACAGTTGCTTTGGTATGTGCAGATGACGGAGCTCTGACATGCTGGGAAGGTGGAACTGTGGCAGATCAAGGCCAGAGAGTGACTGGAATGGTGGAGATGCACCAGTTTATGAAGAACTAGACAGATGAAAGGCCTGATCACTGGCAAGGTTAAACTGCCCAGAATCCCGGGGCCAGCAAAGGCAGAAGTAACCAAACATTCCCTGGGGGGTGCTATAACCGAGCCAAAACGGGCTGACTTGGCCAGAAGAGTAACAATGAGGTGTTCTGTGGCGGTCCCTGGTAAATTGGACCGCAGAAGTGCCATGCATCAACCAGTGGCTAGAAAAGTCACCAGAGAATGGCGGCATGTGAAACCAGCAATGTCCATTTTGCGAAAAAGTGGCTGAAAAAGGGAAAAACAGAAATGGCAACCGTGGATGAGTTTGCTGGCAATGTAACCAGCAAGATTCTGATGAGATAAGTGAACTTGGGATTGACCAGAATGGATGAGCAGACCATGTATGGAGAGAAATTGGATAGTAAAGTGGCTGGACATAGGTAAGTGGGAAAGTCGCTAGAAAATGAAACAGCCACCAGAGATTGGAGCAGGGTAAAATCAGGCACCAGAGCCTTAGAGCAACGGTAAGAATAAGATTGCTCTTTGTGACCGGTCATGGCTTCGAGGCTGGGGAACAACCTTTTCGCAAAAATGTAAGGGTAAGGCTGCCTATAATTGACCCTTATCTCTACCCTCACAAATCGGGAAGCCTTGTACACTAGGTTTTGCCCTTTAAACAGTTACTGCAACTTTTCCAGCAACACTTACCATTGCCTGCAACACCAGATGGTAGTGGAACCCACCAACCAGCCTACCCGCTGATGACCCATTGCCTTCGACATCTGCATGTGCCCCCTCACGCACATGTTCCATGCTCTGTGCACCTCCAATGCACTAGCACGTGTAAGTGTGTGGTGCATTTCCCAACCACCACATTTTTTGGGCAACCCTACCAACGATCCTCTCATCCTTTTCTGACCTCACCTCCCTGTTCCCAGACCAGGGCAACCAAAATAAAACCATCACACCCTTGATTTGCAAACTGTTCCTGCAACCCATCTTCCTCCAAACTAGTATGAGGGAATGGGTTGCAGAAAAGCAACTGCGTCTGTATACATATTTATAACATGTCTTCATTCTTCGCCAATACTTACTACAGAAAAGCAACTGCTTCTGTATACATAAGTTTGACAAAAGGGGGAAGGGGGCACAGCAACAGAAGAAGAATAAAAAGAAGGCACATGCATAAAACATATTCATGCAGGATGCATCGACATCAGTGCCATGTAAAGGTAGCAAGTGCAAAGATATGTACTCGTTGAACTGCAGAGATGAAAATTACCTTTCTGAGGGCCAACTAATTGTTGCGACCGGCTGCTGTAATTAGAGGAAGGCCGACTAGAGGAAGGGCTCCCATGAGTTACTGTTGATGAAGTAGGTGCCATCTCAGTAACATGAATCTTTGCCACTCCCTGGGATTTTCCTTGAATCTTTCCTTGCACAAAAGAGCTACCAGTCTCAGAAGCTGCATACAGTTATTAGGGGAAATCCTTCATTAATTACATTGGAAAACTTCAAAAACCAACAAACTACAAATGTAAGAAAATATCAAGTATCCTAACCAGCAGTTAATTTGGTCTCAGCAGAGTTAAGAGCATTTAATTCTCCAAGAGATTGTTGGCTTCCCACTTCGTGTCTAATAGCACCAACAGCACCAGGAAACCATAAATCCTCAGATGGAACCGGTACTGGTTCTGAAGAAGAGAAATAGACAGCAGATGAAGATGCGGGTCCAGAAGCAACGGTTTCAACTTTATTTGAACTATCAGAAGGCAAAGCACTATCCACATTATTATTATTATCACCAGAAGATGGACCCATTATGTCTCCACTTCCAGCAGATGAAGGGGAAGGAGTCACACCACTAGTAGTTCCAGAAGCTACACTTGTAGGACCATTGGCAATAATGGGTGCAGAGCTGAAAAAGTATGTTTAGTTATGGAATTTGAACCAAATGTACCACAACTTAAATTCACAAAAATAATAGCCAGAGGATTACAGTGACAGTTACTAAAACAAGACAAATTACTTAATAGTCACCTTGTTCCAGAACTTTTTTCTTTAGATATTGTCTCTTGAGAAGCTGCTAAAGGTGGCGCAACTTTCTCAGTGACTTGATGGGTTCCGTTATCTTTGCCTGTTCCAGAATTCTTGCTACTACCAGCATCTGAGAGAAGGTCCACAAAATATAATCTTTATTTAGGTGCTCTGACTGGCCAACATAATATAATCAAGACTCGAATGCAGCTATAGCTGCTACTTTTCATCTAAGCTACAAGGTTTACATGTAAGGGCCATGTAACAACTTCCAAGATATAATGCAAGACAATTGGTTTTAAAACAAAAGGTGACAGAAAACAGCCAGATGATGCTACACCATATACAGACTCATTTATCTATTTCTAAATTGCTAGAAATACAGAACCTAAAGCAGTCAAAGCAAAAAACTATTTAGCTGACAAAAGAAGGGGATTATCTAACAGGGGGAAAATAAATAAATAAATAAACCCTCAAATAAGTTGTAGTTCAGAATGGTTATTCACCATATGATACATTATGAGGTGAAAAATTTCCCCGACCACCCCTAAGCCCCCGCCCTTGTGTGCCAGGCCTCCAACGTGGCTCCATGGATTCCCTGTTGTTAAGAATCTGCAAAATTATAAAAAAATGAAAGAAGAAACAAGAACAGAGATAGCAAACTACATCGAACTATTAGCACAAATTTTGAAAATAAGTAGAGCATAAGTAAATAAAAAGAGCCATATCACATAAGCAAACAAGAGACACAACTTCTAAAACTCCAAAAAGTCCCCTCTCTCCCATCAATGAAGAACAGCATGTCCTTCTAACTACCAGAAATGAAGTCCTAGGAGAGAAGAAAACACTCTTCCAATATAACCAAAAAAAAAACTCTTCCAAGATTGGCGTACATGCTTTATACACTCTAGCTTGAGTGGGAGTGTTTCAAAAATATCAAAGATACTTGCAATGTGTATAGTCAATAGGTGCTCTAATTAAGGAGTAACTAATCAACCACAAGAGCCAATTAAGAATACATTATTGAAGTCCATGACTGACTGTCAACAAAAATCTTACCTCCTTTCTTCTGTCCCTCTTTCTTTTGACCTCGTGAAATGTGTCTGCAAAACAAGTGATTTATGTTAAGACACTGATATAGCAAGAACAATAAATATAAAATAGAAAACAAATTACAAAATCTTTTAGAATTGAAATCAGAAGTTTAGAACCAATGAGTGCATAAAAATCATGCATGAATTAAGGGCATTCAAAAGAGAAGAATGAAAGATTGAATTTGTTGAGAATTCAAGTGAATGCTAAAGTCCGCATTCATAAGAAATGGACTAAGAGAGGACTATATAAGTGGAAGGACTCGTGAACTTAATGCCTTAAATTTTTGGATTAAGATGTGGTGTCGAGTCCATTTATTGCATTGGCTTGTTGCTTAGCTTGTTGACGGTAGTTCTTCCTTACTATGGACTTCTCATGCCGCCTAACAGTGATATTAGAGCCTATGGTTTGGCTGAGCCATCCAGGTGATTGGTTGGGTCTCCTAAGTTTTTTTAGTGGTTTATAGCTTCCAAATGTTGTTCTTGATGAACTTGGAGGAGAAATTTTCAATTCTAGTTCTGTATACTTGCTTGCCAAGACATTTTTGCCGATACTCATTCCAGTGAAGTCTTTTCTTCTTTTTTCATACAATATTTCAACCAGCTCTTTAGGTTGATGGTCATTCCAGCCATCTTATTGAATTGTCTTTCCAGTAATGTTCATCTCTCTACCATCTCCAGCATCCCTGAGTTGCCTTTCTAGCCATGTTTTGTGAAGCCCAATTTTCTCTTTTTTAAAAAGATTATTTTGTAACAAGTTTCAAGCTTAGTAAGATTTAGCTTAAGGGGGAGTATCTAGATGATATCGTATAATATTATGATTATATCTTAATATAGTTTAGAGCTTCCTGAAGGATCTATTAGGATTAATTTCCTAATTTTCAGATATTTAATGATTTGTTTCCTTAATTTAGGACTCCTCAATTTAGTATAAATGAGCATTAGTGTTTTGTCTTTTATATCACATCAATCAATCAAAAAACATCAATATATGATATTATATCATGACTAACAAGATTGCTAATTTTATCTCAAAGGGAGGGGGGTCATTTTCCATTCAAGTTGATTTCTTCGACACAATTCTGGATATCAAAGAGAAGGTACAAGGGGATCCAGAAATTGCCATATCCGAGCAAACCTTGGTCTTCAATGGCAAAGTTCTTCAAGATGATCTCAATATGCCAAATTGTTGAGGGCACACACACATTCAATTCCTAGTCGCCACGGATGCTGCAAACTTGTGGCAGAGGAGTATAAGATGATTGATGAGTTGCTGGCATCGACGGAGGAGATGGTAGTAATCAGAATCATCGACAAACTGCAGCCAATGACAATCGAGAATCTGGGTTGGTGTGCAAACTCCACAAATCATTGTATCATTTTAAACCGTCACCTCAGGCTTGGTTTAGCTGTTTTAGTTTAGTTGTTCAGGCATTTGACTTAACACGGTGAAGTCGAACATTTTGTTTTCTATCAGCATAATTCTTATCGGTGCATTTATATCCTTGTTTAAATGGATGACATTGTCATCATTGGCAATGATTGAGTGGGGATTGAACAAATGACACAAAACTTATTCAGATAGTTTAAGACTAAGGATATTGGCAAGCTCCTTATTTCTTAGGCATTGAGGTGGCACAATTTAGATATGACATCTCCATTTTTTAGAGAAATTATGCCTTGAATATCTTGGAAGAAACCGGCATGTTAGGGTGCAAATCTATTTATACACCTATGGATCCCAATGTCAAACTCCTACACGGACAAGGGGAGTCACTAACAAACCTTGGTCGTTACTATAGGCTAGTTGGTAAGTTAAATTATCTTATTGTAACAAGACCACATATTTGTTTTGTAATCAGCGTGCCAAGCCCATTTTTTACTTGCCATGCGATTCTCATTCTTCGATACATCAAAGGAGCACCAAGCAAAGGCCTTTTATATGAAGGTAAAGGGCATACAAAGGTTTATGATTATATTGATACTAATTGGGTAGGCTCTCCCTAAGATAGACAATCTACTTCAAGCTATTGTGTTGGTACTCTGATTTCATGGAAAAGCAAGAAGCAAACCATAGTGGCACTGAGTATCGAGCAATGGGAACTACGACTTGTGAACTAATTTAGTTAAAGCAGTTGATCAAAGAATTGAGCATCTATGAACAACAAACAATGAAGCTAATTTGTGACACTCATGCAACATTATACATACCCTCAAACCCATTGGCGCCTATAATATATATGCAATAGCTTGAGGGGAGTGTTAGAATATCTTAGGATATCCGTAGGATTGTTATTGGATATGTAAATCATAGGAAATCAGTATATAGTCAATTAGAGGATCATGAAAATTAGGAAAGGATCATTTGTAATTATTCCCTCACTATTATACATGAAGGAAGCTTATGTGGTGAGATTTGACACTCAATTCCACAGATTCAAGTATAAGAATCCAGCTCTGATCTATTTAATAAACTATTAGCTGCTAAAAAGATAATTCTGAAATACCAGCCATACATTTAGAAAGAGGAAAACTTGAGAAGAGAGGGGAAAAGATTAAAGAAAGAAAACCCCATCACTTGTACACGTTATAGGAACTCAATAAGCAAAAGCAACCACTCTCAACATACCCAACACGTGTTCCATGCTTAGATAACTGACTTTCTAAACTTCATGCAACCAAAAGTACTCCAAACAAAATCAAATATCAAATGAACTTGACATTCAGTGAGAGTGCAAGCTTAAACACAAAAGCAGCTCAAGTTACTAAAAAACAAAATACAAGCCAGAGAATAAAATTGATTGAAAGTCAATAAACCATTCTAACAAAAAGATCAAGTCCATAACCTAAACAGACTTTTTTACCAAATACACAGGCTATGAAAGTAGACACTCTGAAAGTTTCGTCCACAGACTGAACTTTCTTTATGCCAAGCTACACGAAGCCCCTCAGAAACCAAAAAGGGTATTAAAAAAATTTCCATCTTGGCCTAACAAAAGGGTAGCAACAGTAAAAAGTCATCACAGCAAACATAATCATTCAAGGTCCCTACTCCACACTACAGAAAAGGGGAAAAAAATCAAATTCAAAATAAAGCAAAGGAAAACCCAGATGAGAAAATACCTAGTCCAACCCATGGATCACAAGGAAACAGGGATTAAGATCAAGATCGAATTCACGGGAACTTAAAGAGCAAAAACAGTGGAGAAAGAAAGGGATAGAGAGAAAAGCAATTATACCCTGAAGGAGGAGCTTCTGAGTGGTCTCATTGGGATCCATAGAACATTCCTTGAGCATTGCATAGATGTCTTCATCACTGTGATTACCTGTGATCTCCTTAATGTTCTGGATCGTCTTCTTCACACTGCTCGGAATTGAAGCCCTAAACCCAGCACTGGTCATCTTTGTAATACAAAGTCACAAACTTTACAAAAATAAAATATGTGGGCAATGAAGAAAAGGGAGGAATAGGAATAGGGAGCAAAGAGGGGTCAGTGATTGATTGGCGATAACAAAGGGCACTAAACAAACATAGAGTTCAATCAAAATTGGCAGAAAGTATGATCTATTTTCAATGGGGTTTGAATTGATCAATCTCAATTCTCAAGAGAGAGAGAGAGAGAAGAGAGATGGAGCAAAACAAAGTGTGTATGTGTGTATGTTTTTTTTCAGAGTGAAGGGCTTTTTTTCCCTCTAGCTCACTCTCATTTTTCTATCTACTTTCTTTATTTTAGTTTTTTATATCAAATAACAAAAGAATTAAACCTTTGTATATTTTTATTTTTTTTAAATATTATTGTGGAATTAGATAAAGTTATCTCCATCAATTTCAAAATTACATCAGGTGGTGGTGGGAGTGAGAACATGTGTTCGAATCTCTTCAGTACCACCTTTGGAAGGGATTTAAAACCTTAATTCTGAACCCGCCCCGAATCGAATTAATTACGAAACAATGAACCGATTGAAATATTTAAAAAAAAATTACATCGGTCTGAGCATTGAAGGATATTTTAAAAAATTTATTTATTTCTTTATTATATGAATTTTATCAAAATAATCTTCATAAATTCTCTCAATCGTTTTGGGGTTATTAGCCTAGTTCATTTGTACTAAAACATTTCATAATATTTAATTATTTTAATTAATAAATGGGGATGTTGACAATCGAACTCATGACTACTTAGTCACACCTAAATCTAATACCATATAAACAATGGCGGAGCCAAAAAACAAATGTTAGCTCGTGTTAAAAACTAGTCCCAAAAAATTTTGTTCTCGCCATCCTTTTATCTGTTTTGCATAGCTACCAAATTTTAGTTTCTACCTGTGCCAAATTCTTAAAAGTTTGAAAACTAGCTAGTGTCAAGGCACTGACTAGCCTGAATATGATCCCACCATTGCATATAAAAAATTATTTCAACATAAAAACTTAAGTTATTAAGTTAGACTGTATTAATAATTTTATATTTTTTAGCAACGTGGGTGCGAAGGTCAATATGCCACCCTTTGTATTCTTTCTTCTTTTTTTGGTTGAAACCCTTTGTATTCTTTCATCTAAATCAAATATTATACTTAATTTAGTTATTAATAAACTTATTTATATTGATTAATTTTTATTAGTTTAACAATTATCTTACACATATTTTTATTTATATAAAAAAAAGAATTAATTTTAAGATAGCGATTGTCTATTATATAAGTCTAGTTAATATTTATAAGTGTAGATATAGGTTTTAGAGAAAGTTTATATTTATAAACATTTTATTTACATATAATATAGTTTGCAATATATATATATATATATATATATATATATATATATATATATATATATGCAGGTTATATTTACAAATTTTTTTGTTTACAAACTCTTATAAACTACACTATGTAAGACCGGTCCTACATTAATCACGCAGTGTACGACCGGTCCTACATTAGTGTAATTGCAAAAAAAATTTGTAAACGATCATGTCCCTATATATATATATATTATAAATATAACTCTCCCTGTATTTTAATATTTTTCTTACAAAGTTAACGGATAAGGGTGAAGACAGGAATTAGTAGGGTTAAAAATTTGCATCTACCCACCCTATTACTTTGTCTAATCACGTGAACAAATTACAAAAAATTAAAAATAGAAAAAGAAAAATCAACACAACTCATTCTAAATAACAAATAACTTTGAGCTCTATGGTAAAAGAACTTTTGTATTTAAAAGTAGGGGAGTGTATGGTAGAATTGAACTGGATTTCTGGAAGAATTGAATCAAATTTTTTTTTTACTCCAACCGGTTTGATTCGATTTAAAAACAGTTTGGTTCAAAAAATGATTCAGTTTTGTTCGGAATCAATTTTGATAGAATCTATTTTGAAAAGAAAATAAAAAAAATAAAAGAAGCCACTAAATAAATAAGAAAAATGAAAAAAAAAAAATTATTGTTTATGAACTATTTTTTAAACCAGTTCGATTTATGAACTAGCTCTTTAAAAATCAGTTCAATTCATGAACTATTTTTTAAAAACTAATTATTTTAACTGCAGTTCAGTTTTATTTTTTAATTTTTTTGCACATCCTTATTTAAAAGTGTCGTTATAAAATATATTTCGTTGGATATTCTCTTTCTTTAGGAGATTGATTATTCTTATTTAAATATTTGAATAATGTCTATTTTTTTGATAAGGTTCATTTTCTTATTCAAATCAATTAATTTTATGTATAATTAATGATTAAATATATTTCCTTAAATAAATGATTCTATCTTATAGGTCAATAAGTAAATTTATTTTCTTAAATAAATCGATTTCATTTAGTAGGTCAAAAAGTAAAAATATTTTCATAAATGAGTTGATTTTATCTGTTAGGGAATTTTTTTTCCTATTTAATTGTAATCTCATTTGAAGGAGAATTATTTTCAACTTCTTTTTTCATTGTTTGAATTTCTTTATGTATATATGAGTGTCTCGTTACCCCATGGCATCGAGGCATTTTGGTACAATTAGAACTTTTGAGAGTCTTCAACACCAGAGACATCCTCCTCCATGTCGAGGCCTCCATCACCAACATCCGAGGCTATCACCTTTAGCAAATAGCATTGATGGAGAGGATTCAAAAGATGATCCAAAATATCATGCTATCCTCAAGCGACACATTCATCTAATGCATTAGTTACGGGGTTGTTGCATAAACAAAAACTTTAATATCATATAAATAATCAATTCAATCCTAAAGATAAAGTTGTTGTTTTTTGTTTTTTTATTACATCCGGGTATCCTCGCAGCCGATAGTCATGAGACTAATCCTTCACTCCGAGTTAGCGCACAAAGCGGTAAACTGGTAAAGAGCTGGCGACAGAATACTTTCCATTCACAAGAGTTGGGATTCGAACCCCCAATCACTTGTTCAAGGGACGAGATGTTGAACCATCACGTCCACCCACGTGAAGTCACATCAATAATTTTATATTTTATGTGATAATTTTCTAACATAGTATCATTGTTCAAATTCCTCACTACCCCATTTTCTAATAAAAAAAGTAAGTTAATATAAAGATAAATAAAAAATTATGTTTGTGCATTATAACATTTCAAGTCCAAAAAACTATTGGTAAGCGGGTATGTTAGAAATATATTCTATAAAATCAATAATGTGGCATTTGAAAAGATTCCCAGATTGTAGGCCTTCCATCCATTAGACTTTGTTTGGCTGCAAATAAAATTATTTATTTTTTTGGTAATAAGCTGCAAATAAAATTTTACAATCAAATACAATTGAAGATGGAAGAATTAATTGTTATAAAGACAGACAAGTGACTAAAAGATTCACTCAAATATAAGGAATGGCTATCGGGAAACCTCTGTTCCAATAGCCAAATGTAACATCATAAGGTACTCCTTCCTATTGTTATTGTTGAGATATATAGTCCCACATTAATTGGATGGGCAATTAATATGGTTTTTATAAGGTCTTGGGCACTCCCACCCCTTGAGCTAGCTTTTGGGGTGGTGACCTCAAGGTTCCATAACATGGTATCAAAGTCTCACCGTCCCCCGCTTTAAAAAGTGAAAAAAAAAAAAAAAAAAAAGCATAAAAAGGTAAACCAAAAGTGGGCATGTGCAATTTCCACGCTTCTAGCCTAAAGAGCTCTTGCGTGAGAGGGCGTGTTGAGATATATAGTCCCACATTGATTGGATGAGCAACTAATATGGCCTTTATAAGGCTTTGGGCACTCTCACCCCTTGAGCTAGCTTTTGGAGTGGTGACCTCAAGGTTCTTTACCGTTATCAACCGTGACTGGCCTCTACATAATTTAGATGAGAACAATGTGTTCTTAAATGGAGACCTTAAAGATAAAAAATATATGGAAATTGCCCACTATATCGAGTGCAACAACAATCTAAATAAGAAATGCAAACTCTACGAATTTCTATATGGTTTTGAGAAATCTCCTACGACATGATGTGACAAGTTCATCTCAATTGTCAATCTTTTATCAAATAAATCATACCTTATTTATCAAAGTTAACTTTGATCAAAGGGTAATATATCAAAATCTTTTATTCTTATGAAGTATTCTTACACAAGTTTTATGAATGTTTTAAGCGATTTTAAAGAGATATTTGATTTCCTTCTCTAGTAGTATTTATAACAGTCATAGTATGAAAATATCAAATGGTACTAGTTCAGTTGGCGCATGGGAGCTAAACAGGGTGAGAACATGCGTTTGATCCTCTCCTGGACCAGCCCCGAATCGGACTATATATCTCAACACGCCCCCTCACGCAAGAGCCCTTTGGGCTAGAAGCGTGGATATTGCACAGGCTCAATTTTTGGTTTACCTTATTGTGCTTTTTATTTTTTAATTCCACTTTAAGCTTTTTATTTTTTAATTTCACTTTAAGGTGGGGGCAGTGAGGATCGAACTTGTGATCTTGTAGTCACTCAAGCTCTGATATCATGTAAAGAACCTTGAGATACACCACCTCAAAAGCTAGCTCAAAGGGTGAGAGTGTCCAAGGCTTTACAAACTCCACATTAATTGCTCATACAACCAATGTGGGACTATATATCTCAACAAATATCAAATGTATGTGACAATTAATTTCTTTTAGAAGACAATTAATTTAAACTTCTGTAAAATATAACAATGCAAAGACACTTAAATTAACAAATAAAAATTTGAAGTAAGGTTAGATATCACAATCGCTATAAATTACTTTAAAATTGAAAATTAATATTTGACAATCTAATTATAATTTATAAACATACTTTCTATTTCAAACTAATATATATATATATATATATATATATATATATATATATTAAGAAAAAAATATTTTTTCAGCCACTTAAAATAGGCTTATCTCAAGCCAAGCATTTATAATTATATCCTACGAGTAGTATATAGTTATAATATTAAAAAAAAAAATTCTCTCTCCACGTCAGCAGACAAGTCTTGAAAAGTGTCTACAGAAAAAAAAACTTTAACATTATAACTATATACTACCCATAATATATAATTATAAAGGATAACTTGATATAAGTTCATCTCGAGTGGCCGGAGAAATATTTATCTCATGTTTTAATATTTATTGCATTGCAT